ACTACATTTAACTTTTGTGTGTCACATAAAGATCACAGTCTATTCCTCCATTCCATTCTATCCGGTGCCAATCAGTTGACAATCATGGATGGAACCCAGTCCAGCAACTTTTGACTCTTATATTTTCTGAGTACAGATCACATGACACATAGATGATCACTATATGAAGTCGTTCCCATGTGTGCTGCAATTTTTTTAAGCCCCATCCTGGCTTATGCTGGGGGCCCTGAATATAGCCGGAGCATAGATTTGGCCTAGCCATTTTTTTTTTTAACGTATCCAGAAACCATGAGTCGTAAACCCTTTGGCTCGGTACTATGGATATCGCAACCCTTCGGCATTGATTCCATTATAGGTACCGTTAATCTGGGAGAAATGTGGCTTTTCTGCCTACCCCCGGGAGTGAACCGGGACCACAAGGAGTTCGTCACCCGGCCGCCGCGAAAGTCAGGTTTAACCAACTTCGCTCCTGACGGCTGAAAGGGGTTTCTGGGACCATTCCACAGGTGATCTTTATCCGCACGTTGGCACTTTGTGTCACAGGGTGTTTATTGCTTGTGTGATGTCCTAGTGGGGTACAACTACCTACCTACCTACCTACCTACCTACCTACCTACCATAGATAATTGAAAAAAAATATTATATAATTTTCTTAAGATTTATTGCAGCTACTGCGGTTTACTGTAGTTAGAAATTTGCTCATTCCAGTGCACATATTGAATATTTTGATGGTATTGATAATGTTAACTACTACTTGACATATGAATGAACTGATGTATAAAAGGAGGGAGAACAGAAGGGCAGAATGGTAGATTGGCCTGCGTGCCCAGTTCTGAACCCTTTGAAAGAAAATTTTGTTCGTTCTCTCATCAATATCCCCTTTATGTTTTTTTTTTGGGGGGGGGGGCGTCCTCTCCTAATCCATTTATTTCCCATATCAGTGCCTGTTTGATTTTAAAACCATACTGGCCGGAAAAGTTAACGGTAAGATAGCAAGAGGTAGACAACGCAACAAGTAGGAAGACGAAATCAAGAGATTGGCGAACATCAGTCAAAGGGTGTAACTACCAAGACAATTGACAGAGTGTGTTTGAGATTCATTGAAGCCAACCTGTATGCTGACAACAGAGACGCAATCTGGCCTGTTCCAACCACAATGAAGACAAAACTGTATGGTACACAAGAGGATATGGATTGCACGATAGCTTTCATAAAGGCTACTGGCCTCCTGATATAAGTTTTCTGACAGAAGGATCGAAGAAGAAGAAGAAGAAGAAGACTGATCAAAATAATTGGGCAGGATGGAACGGAACTGAGGAATGGTCTGCGAGCCCTATGTGATACATAAACGGCAAGATGTTGTGATGATGATGATGATGATGACAGTGATTACCAGCCATTAAAAAAAAAAGAATGGGAAAATTTTAAACGAAACAATATTTGCTCGCACCTAAGCTTCGTTCGTATGTCATTGCTTTGATTGCTTTGACTATTTGTGCAGTTGGTGATTTGTTGTGATCCAGAGGCTTAGATTTTTACGTTGTTACTTGTTATAGAAATTGTATAAATGTAATGTTGCATAATCTATGGAACAATTTTGGTGAAGGTGCTCTTATGTTTACTGAGAGCCGGTCTTTGATTACGTGTAGTTGAGTTAAGAATTGTTATCACAGCACTCGGGGCATTCCGCATTCCCATACACGCTCTGTTCCCATCCTTAGCAGCCAGCGCAGAGTTCCAGTACTAATGGTACAAGTCGTAGTATGGTTGTATGTCCGTCTTACCTTTCCTCTGAGCGTAGTATGCCAGCCGAACTCTCTGGTCACATCCAGGTGCATCATCATTCTCTCCAGCCAATAATAAGTTTCTCTTCTGACTTCTAGTCTAGTACTAGTAGTATATTTTACTATAAAGGCTAGTATAACTTTGTCTTAATGACATTAAACGGCCAGAAGTTGAGATTAACTGTAACTTTGAAATTAAGATAATGTTCTATATCTAGTTGTGATTATATATCATTACATGTATTATATTGGCATTGAAAAGTGGGCTATCCTTGCAATAACGGTCGCTAGTTGGACGGCGACGGCCGCTTTGTGGGAGTTCAGTTCCCAGGCTGCAGTGCAATTACGGAGTGGAAAAGAGGGAACGAAACAAATGACATAATTAGGGGTAGGGTTAGGGTTTGGGTTAGGGTAACACATGTCGAAACGCGGTCGCTAATGTGAGTAGATCGCACCATGGATGGTCTAGAAGCCATGTTGAACTCAATATGTTTTGGTGATTCTTGCCTTGTCCATCCGTAATTGCACTGATACTAGGGGAAGAAACTCCGACTAAGCAGCCGTCGCCATCCAAGTAGCGACTGTTATTGCAAGGAGAACCGAAAAGTGAAAATATACTTTGGATTGTTTTCAACCAGGCTATCCCGGCCTTGGTGGGTACAATGAACAGGAGACAGATTGGTTTTAACCCAGATTGTCACCGCACCAATGTGTTGGTGAATTGATACATGATAAGCAGATGTGGTCACGGAGCATGCTTGGGAACAAGCAAACAGAATAGTAGATGTCAAGATTGACTAAGGCCTAAGAGAGAATGAGGCCCTGAATGGGTGCAACCAAATATCTGCATCCTCATACACACTTAGAGGCTATTTACTAAGAGGTTAGTTGAGTATCCTTTACAGACATTGCAGAGCCAGTACCCCATATTGGACTGTTGCGCTGGCTGCTAGAAAATTTAGGACCAGAGCATGCCATGGGAATACCCAGACGGTGGCTTTCTTGATATCAATTCTTGACTCAACTCAAGTGAAAATAGCAATGAATTAATTTAGACCATTACTTCATCCATTCATACATACTTAGATGCTATTTACTAATTAACTAATTACCTTTTTTTTTTTTTATAATTCACAACACTGATTTTGAACAGGCTAGCTCTTATGGTCTGGTATTTCAGTAGTATATGTTTTTATGTTGGGGTATTCTTTACCTTATCAAGGTATGGTGCCTGGTGTCATAAAGAATAAGACCACTGCATCCTCTCAGCATGTCATAAGAGGCAACTAAGAGGGGTTGGACGTGGGGCCAGCAATCTCACACTGTTTAAAAAAAAAAAAAAAATTTACTGCTATTTATGTGTTTGCACCCAAAATTTGCAAGGCAGTTGTCAAAAAATCTGTCATTTAATAAATAATATTATCACACCCATGGTGACCAGATTAAGGAATTTAAATATAAAATGGGAAAACCCATTCACCATCATCAGCAAGTGCCTCTCCAACAGGAGGGATAATCATACCATACTTCAACAGCATGCACCAGTGTAGTACATCATTCTTTGTTGTTGGCACCTTTCTCTCTGTCTAGACAATAGTGTCTTCTGTTCTATAGAGATGCATGAGAATCACATGGCGATTCTAGTTAAGCCTAGGGATGAGATGAAGTTCCTTTACTTCATCACACAAAGCATGGGCAGTATTGTAGAGATACCATCTTGCCTTGACTAAGCACTGTTATAAGTTTTCTTGTATAGTTTCTCTGCCTCCCTTTCCGTAGAATTGTCCATTTGTATCAGTATTTTCATTCTGTGTGTGTTTGTGTGTGTGCTTGTGAGCGAGGAAGTGAGTGAGTTAGTTAGTTATGGCCTACAAAATGATGACTTCCACTTTCTGATGTCTTTGATAAGGTATTTTTGTGTCATGGCCTTTTTTGAGACATTTACATGATTCTGTTTTGACTGTCTTAGGACTTTCGTTAGTAATACAAAGTTGTACAGAAAATTTGCCATATGAAGGAAATATTTTGTTTTTTAGCAATCTAATGTAGAAAGTTTTGAATATGTATCCAATCTCTCCAATGTAAATCTATCACAAAGTAGGAGAATTTACTGCTAAGTACTTATAAATGTTTTTTTAAATTAACATTATGGGACAAATCTAAGTCCTTATGCACGTCATACATGTGATTTTCCAGTTTATATTTTTGTATTCGCTTTTGCTGGAAATGGGAGCCACTGTAGCCTGGTATTCTGAGAACTTTCCTTAGCATTTCAGCTCGAAATTCCCCATTTTTTTTGGGGGGGGGGTCTTCAAGGGATGTCAGTCATATTAGTCTTTTCTAAAGAAAGTAGTTGAGAATATAATGTATATAACAATTTTAGTTTACCAGTTTTCTGCCTAATTTATTTATGTTTGTTTCCACAGGTCTAAACTTTTAACATAGTATATACATACAATCATTCAGCAAATCATAGTAAAATGCCACGTAAGGTCATAGCTTCACAAGCTAAAGCTCAGACAATAATTTCAAAGTTTTTCACCTCTGCTACAAAAGAGCAACCTCAGGCAGGTACAAAGCTTCCGCAGGTTACTACAGACAGCCATGATGATTTTCAGGTAAAGCAGCGTTTTATTGTTTGGTACTCATTTAGTATTTTTACTGGCCAAAATTATTATAATATATATTTTTTTTTTTTAGATTTTATTATTATTCTTTTTAGTCATTACCGACTGTAAAAAGGTTGTTTGTCCACTTCTGGGCTGTGGTCGTGCACCAAAACTTGAGTTGTATATGCAGATCCGTTCTACAGATCTAGCATATTTATGTGCAGACTGTTGGTTTCTTGCTTCTCAGGTAGATCTAACAATAACATATAAGTGAAGTAATAGTCCCTTTTCCACGCCTTTAGGCGTATTGGGAATATAGGGCTAAACCTATATTTTTTAGACCAATCGGCACTGGGTGGGTGATGAAGCAATAACATATAGCAAGTAAAATAAATGGTTTCAGCTAAGAAAAGCAAATTATTTCAGCTCATAAAAACATTATTTCAGCTTACTAAAGCACAAAGTTCAGCTATCTGTAGCACATAGTTTTGGCAAACAAAAGCATAGGATTTAAACTAACTTGTTTTAATGTTTTACCAATTTACTCTCTTGTTTTGATTTACTTAATTTTTCAGTGAAATAAATTAAATTTATTTGATCTGTTAAGGTTGTAAAGAAATCAGGAAAGAAACAAAGCAGCACAGCTACAAAAGAGGATGATGATGAAGTTCCAAAGAGTAAGAAATTGTGTTTGCCAAAAAAATCTGGTGATGTCAACAAAAACAATGCAGCCATGAAAAAGAATACTCAGAAAATGAAGACTTCATCAGACAAGCTGAAAAACTTTGAATATGAAGAAAGTGACAACTCAAAACAGAAGAGGGAAATATTTAAACCTAGAAATAAACTACCAAACATCGTTTTTGATGATGATGTTGAAAATATGGACCAGGGATCTAATGACAGTGATGGGGATGCTGTACTAGCACACATGAGTGGCCCATCTTCTGTGGAGTCTTCAGTAGTATCATCATACTCATCATTTCACAATTACAGAGCGTCTGCATCTGCTAGTCAAAGTCTCACAGCTATAGGCAAGAAGCCTGGAAAGTATACACCATTAGAGCAGCAGTATGTGGACATCAAAGCTCAGAATCCTGATGTTGTTCTATTTGTTGAGTGTGGTTACAAGTACAGATTCTTTGGTGAAGACGCTGAGGTAATTTTATGTGTGTGTAGTAGTAGTAGCTGCAGAAGCAGCAGCAGTAGTAGTATATACATTTTCTTTTTTCATCTTCACTTCCTCTTTCATGCTTCAGGTGTTGAGTGTTGAAAGAGGTATAAGGTTCTGCTTCTTGCTGTTCTTTGACCATTTACGCATTGTACTGTAGTAGAGTTTCTCTCTGGTATATCTTTCCATCCTCATTTTGGTATACCTTGTGCTTTTCTTTCCTCTCCTCTTTGAGTGTAAGGCTTGTAGGGTATGACATTCCAAGGTAATTTCTCTAAATTGGTAGACAATTGCATTTGCTGTCTTTATATATGGACTATGTATATATGTATGTATGTATGTATGTATGTATGTCCCAGGCTATGATAGTATACTATTACAGCCATGTGTAACACATATATATATATTATTATATTGAACATACATATATATATATAGCTAAGATAATATATATATATTATGACACTCCAGTCAATAGTGAAATATTGGAAATACATGTAATATACATACATCATACATGATATACCATACTACAAGGATACATATACAAAGCATTGGAATATTGCATAAGACAACAAGTATTGTTTCCTTGACGGACATTGAGAAATCTTTTAGAGGCAGCCTGAACATCATCATGGTGGGCATTTGGCGTGTCCTTCTAAACATAGAACATGGCATGACCATAGAGTTTTCTGGTTTCTGTTCAGTATTCCAGGTTTGGAGCACTGCAATATATCAGTTCATGATACTGGAACAGGCTGGCTTTTCTGAGATGTTTCACTTCAAGAATTGATCTGGCAGACACAGTCACATATAGATCAAAATTTGAGCTGAATGGAAAAGCTCCTGTATTATTAGCAAAGGGTGTTCTGGAACGAGGGTGGTCCTGATGGACTGGAACAACAGCCTTTCAGCCACTGGAACCCAACATCCTGAAGAAGGCACACTGTCAAGTGAATGTCAATTTGCGCTGCCTTTTAAGCAAATGCCTACACTTTGGCTCCACCTTGCTGTTTGCCATAGTGATGGTTTGGTAGTGGGTAATTTGTTGGTTGGTGCTTTACAGTGGGCACTTTGGTGGTTGGTGGCAGGAGTTACTAGACTGCTGATTCAATGCCTGGCCTCCACGGAGATATCACCCCAAGCTTAGGAATCCTTTAAAGATTAAACTGGTATTTTGAATGCGCCAAGATTTAATCAGAGAGGTGACATACTTCTAGATGCCTCAGAGGTCTGGCAAAGAATGACCCCGCCAGATTTTGCTTGGCGTCTCTAGAAAAAAAAGTCCTGTATTAGTGCCCCAAGGAGTAAAAAGGCTTACAGGAATTTCTGAATATTATTCCAGAAAATATCTATCCCACAGTTGTAAGTTTGAAAATGTAGACTTCTCAAAACAACTAGAGGGTCGAGAATTATTTATTCCACCAGATAGAGGTATATATCAATATGAAGGACTATATACCCACCGGACGAGTTTAAATTTGAAATGTGACCTGCCCGCTAGGGGCGTCAACGTCACGACTAGTCCAAAGTGTGGGGTTTTGGTTGTTCACTCCGTGACAGTAGTATCAGTAGCAGTATATAAATATTCTTTTTCATCGCTGGGGTAATTTTGAGTGTTTGTAGTAGTAGTAGCAGCAGTAATAGTAGTATATCAATATTGTTTTTCAGCGCTGAGGTAATTTTGTGTGCATGTAGTAGTAGTAGCAGCAGCTGTAGTAGTAGTATATAAATATTTTTTGTCATCTTCACTTCCTCTTTCATGCTTCAGGTGTTGAAAGAGGTATAAGGTTTTGCTGCTTGCCCTTTTTCTTGACCATTTACACATTGAATTGTAGTAGAGTTTCTCTCTGATATATCTTTCTATCCTGTTTTTAGTATACCTTGTGCTTTTCTTCCCTCTCATCTTCAAGTGTAAGCCTTGTAGGGTAAGACATTGCAAGGCAATTTCTCTAAATTTCTCTCTCTCTCTCTCTCTCTCTGTGTGTGTGTGTGTGTGCGTGCGGGCGGGCGGGCGGGCGGGGCGGGCGCGTGTGCGTGCGTGTGGGTGGGGGGGGGGGTGGGTGGGTGCGCGCGCGCGCCGCTTGCGTGCTAGAGAGATAACACACTAAAAATGAGAATCATTGAGTGTTATGTATACTCTGTCCTACTATATAGTGCAGAAACTTGGACAATGAACAAGCAACTTGAAAATCGAGTTGTTCTCTGTAGATGTGTTACAGAAGAATAGGTCGTATTTCATGGAAACATAAACAGTCCAATACAGAAGTTCTGGAAAAGCTACAAATGAAAAGAGAATTACTGAAAGAAATAAAAAGAGACAATTGAAATACTTTGGTCACATTATAAGACATAACCCACCTATAAAAACCATACTGGAGGGAAAGGTCGAAGACAAGAAAGCAAGAGCTAGGCAATGATTCAAGTGGGAGGACAACTTTAAGAGATGGAGGGCAGCAGTCTGATAGAGTGTATGACCAGGACAAGAGACAGAGCGTGTTGGAGCTCCATTGCAGCGAACCTTCACTGTGAAGACAGCACCTGATTGATTGATTGATGTCTGTCACTGGTAGCATAGGATGGGGATGAATATGCTTTGCATGAGATGTTTTTCTGTGCTAGTTTTTGTATCTGTGAAACGTGTCTGTAGTTTTTTTAATGGTAAGTGTTTTTCAACTCATAACGAAACAAGTTCTATGTAGCATTTTAACTCTGTTTCTTACTGCGTTTGACATATTTTTTATTGGTGAGTATCTTTTTCATCTTTTTACTGTGGTGGTTCTTATTCTTATCTCTGAGAGGCATCTTGCATCAGATGTTAGCATAGTTGCAAGATAATAGTTGTATCAATTCACTTTCTTGATCATTCTGACTCTGATGGGATGAAAATATGAGAGGTTTGAGGTTTTGGACAATGGATCAACATCATGGCACACAGGTGTATCCATAAGTGCTCCGTTCTTCTTCTAACTCAAGCCTGAGTCCGAAGAAGTTCAGCACAGTGTACAGGCTCTGTTGCGCCAGCGAAAATATGAGATTTGCACCATAAACTCAAAATTACTCAAGGCGTGGAAAATAGTTCTTTACTTTTACTGAATAATTCATGTCAGCAAATATTTATATTTTTGACTGCTTAAATTCCAGATTGCTGCCAGAATTCTAAAGATTTACTGCCGCATGGACCATAACTTTATGACAGCAAGTATTCCAGTTCATCGCCTCTTTGTACACGTTCGGAGAATTGTTGCAGCCGGATACAAGGTAGCTACCAGAGTAGTTATTGTCTTTGAAACTTAACTTTTGGTTTTTGTAGATGGTTTATTTAATTATTTTGCTATGTTTCCAGGATTAGTTTTCCTTGAGGGGATAAATTATTAACTACTATATAATAACTAGCAAATACATGTAAAAATGTTGTCGGTGTCTGTGGTTTAGGTGTTGCGAACAGGCTTCCTAATGCTGGGGTACTGGTTCGCTCCCAGCTGAGGGCGATTTAGCAGCAGAACACCTTGTATTGGTTTTGACAGTTGTACCAAGGGCTGACTATTCAGAAAGCAGTGGCAAACAACTGAACATAAAATTTTGCTAGAAAAACCAAAACAGCCAAAAAATGTTGGGGTTGATTTCTGCAATGTCCTTTAAAGGAAGTTCTACATTGCTTGTGGTATTTCTTCTTCTCCTCTTCTTCTTCTCCTTCTCCTCCTTCTTCTTCTTCCTCTTCCTCCTCCTCTTCTTCTTTTTCTTCATTCACATTAAAAATGGTGGTTGGTACCGTGATATCTGTGCTTTTCAACCAAATACATACGATTTCACCAAATCCCTAGTTAGTGACCTGTTTTCATGTGCTTATTAGGAGTGGGAGGTAAAGGAGTCATAGGCCACTGGGTACATTCTTATTTTTCTCCAAAATGGGCCCCAGAATCCACATGGGAAACTTATCTTATTGATGTTTGTTATTCTGCTTTGACAACCTGTTTTTTTTTTTGTTTTTTTTTCAGGTGGGCATAGTTAAACAGATGGAAACTGCGCACCTCAAAGCAGCAGCAGGCAACAAGTCGGCCCCCTTCACTCGTCAGTTGACAGCACTTTATACTAAATCCACTCTTATAGGGGAAGATATCCTTTGTGATAATTTTGTTCTTATAGTCTAACTTGGGTGACATTGTATATATCATAGTGTTTAGCTGGTCTGTCATTGTCAGAAAATAACCATGTTGTTATTGAAAAGTGATTGTTTCCTTTTAATGTTGGTGGCCTCTTGTGGTGTATGTAGCCAGAGAATTATGATTGTTTCCTTGTGATATTTGACACGTTTTGATGTAGCCATAGAGTTGTGATTGTTTCCTTGTGATGCCTGATATGTCATCTCTTGATGTAGCCACAGAGTTGTGATTGTTTCCTTGTGATATTTGACATGTTTTGATGTAGCCATAGAGTTGTGATTGTTTCCTTGTGATATTTGACATGTTTTGATGTAGCCATAGAGTTGTGATTGTTTCCTTGTGATGCCTGATATGTCTTGATGTAGCCATAGAGTTGTGATTGTTTCCTTGTTAAACCTGACATGCCTTGATGTAGGCATAGAGTTGTGATTGCTTCCTTGTGATATTTAACATGTTTTGATGTAGCCATAGAGTTGTGATTGTTTCCTTGTGATACCTGACATGTCTTGATGTAGCCACTTAATTATGATTGTTTCCTTGTGATACCTGACATGCCTTAATGTAGCCATAGAGTTGTGATTGTTTCCTTAACATCTGTGCACATGTAGATCCTTTGTGTGATGCCGAGGCTGACTGTGAGACAACATCCTGGCAGTCCAACCACTACCTCATGTGTCTGTGTGAGCAGCAAGCAAGTTCAGGCACCTCATGTCATATAGGTTTTGTGGTAAGTGTTCACATCATCAAGATAATCTTGGACAATTTTTTTGTTCAGTTGACAATGCATTCTTTTAAGCCCTTCATTTATTATTATTATTATATCATGATGTAGCAGCTAGGTGCTTGTATGCATTTTCAAAGGTCATGGTTTCCAATCTGAATGGAGCCAGACTTTGTTTTTAAAAAATGACCTTATCTCCCAGGTCGATCCGGCCTCAAATGGGAACCTGGTAAACATCTGGGAAGTAAAAGTGGCCAGTGTGATAGTAACCACATCACCTACAGAGTACTGATTGGTCTTTAAAGCATAGGTTTAGAAATAAAAGCCCAGTACATCTGAAGGTGTGTTAAAGGATCCTTTACTTTACTGTTACATCAGCTCATGGTAAAAAATTTCTTACCTGTTTTTTAAGGATGCAGAGAACTTCGTGTATCCAGGTTCATGGATAGCAGCAGATGAAAAATGTCTCCCAGTGAGAAAGAAAAGAAGATGACAAGAAACAAAGAATAAACTCATTGCCTTCATAACAAGCATGCCTTCCGAGGCGACTCATTAAGGTTGTTTCTTTCAAAGTCAGAGTGCATCTGCCTGAGAGGCAAGGAACCAAAAGTTTGCGTACAAATGAGCCAGATCTGAAAAATTGATGTGCATGGAAAACTCAGTCTCTAGATCAAGACTAAGGTCCAGGAGTGGATGACCAGCCAGAATTTTTGTGCTGAAGTGTATAGCCAGTGAACTATACGAAGAGAAAGAAAGAAGAGTAAAAGTCGTGTTTTCATAAATAATATCCTGTGCACTTTATCCAACCTTCACTGTCGAGGCAGCACACAATTTGTGTTTTATCTTTTCTTGAAGTCATATGTGTGAAATAGTTTTCAGTTGTTTTTCATTACTGCCTCTTCATATGTTTTCTTGGTTTTGTTTTGCAGTGTGTAGATGTGTCTACGGGAGAAGTCATATATGATGAATTCACGGATGGCACAACATATTCAGAATTAGATACCTGTGTTGCTCACCTGCAGCCTGTCGAAATGTTGATATCTTCAGACGCCTCACAGAAACTGAAAGATATCATCATGGGAATTACTGCATTAAGGTAGTAACTTTGTCTGTGGCACACACACAAACTAGCTGCATATCCTGCAGAACCAAGACAGTCCTACAACAAAACATAACCGCAAAATTACAACATGTGAGATGAGATGTATAAGAAATTTGGGCAGAAAAAACAAGATGAGACAGATATGATATTGATTCTTAAATCATTAAATCATTGTATATGTATTCAATTCTTCTCTTCTGTTCCACCATTTACCTCAGCTAGGTGTTCAGGGAAGATGCAAGGATCATTCGTGCACTTTTTCCAATGCATTTTACAAGTTGATGTTCATTTCTGTTAGGTTGCTCTTGATGGTTTCACTCCATATCTTGCGTGGTCTTCCCCTTGCTCTGTGTTCATTATATTTCTTCAGCGTGGCTTTCTGTGACAGTTGGTACCAGGGCATTCTCTTTAAATGTCCAAACCATCTTTTTTGATGTTTTTTAATGAATTGTCTGACTTGTTTCAGTCCTAGTCTTCTGATTTCTTCATTCTTGATTTTTATCTCTTGTCGCACCAGCAGCTGTTACGATCTTCCACTCGTTAGTTGCAGTTCGGGTCCATATTTGGCACTGGTAGCACGGTGTCGGCCAAGAAACCATTCTTATGAGATTTGCTTTGTTTGACATAGGTATCTTTTTCTGGGTCAAAAGCGGTGTTAATTGTCCCATAACCCGATTTGCTTTTTTGCACATCATATGTTGATTTCTCTGTCCATTTTTTCATCTGTGGTGAAAAATTACCCTAGATATTAAAATTTGCTCATTTGATTTATTTCTGTGTTATTTACTTTAATTGAAATGGTTTTTTTTTGGCTACCTATTACCATTGCCTCTGTCTTATAAATGCTTATCTTCACATTATATTTCTCACACTTAGTATTGACTTGGTTTATATGCTTCTGTCCCGGCTCTCTAGCGTAGTTGGCTAAACAGGATTGCGCGGTGATCGGGTGACGAACTCCTTGTGGTCCGGGTTCACTCCCAGGGGTAAGCAGAAAAGCCACATTTCTCCCAGGTTTACGGTATTTACAATGGAATCAAGGCCGAAAGGTTGCGATATCCATAATACCGAGCCTAAGGGTTAACAACTCATGGCTTCTGGATACTAAAACAAACAAACATATGCTTCTGTAAACTCTCTTCTGTTTCAGCTATTATTACTTGGTCATCTACAAATAACAATTCTGATATATCATCCTTTTCTTTGCTTTCTGCTTTTTTGCACATACTGTCAATGTATGTTATACAAAGCAGGGGAGATAGCACACATCCCTGTCTTGCTTCATAATTTACTTCAAAAGGTTGCGATGTACCTGCTTTTGTTTGTATGCGACTTTTAATTGGTGTATACAAGCTCTCCCACACTTCAGTTAGATGTTTGCTGATTCCATATCTATTTAAGCAGTTCCACAACATATTCATGTCCACTCTGTCAAATGATTTTTCCTGATCTATAAATGCGACTTTGCATGTCGTATCATACTCTATTGCTGTTTCTGTCAACTGTCTTAATATAAATATGGCGTCAGTGCAGCTTCTGTTACTTCTGAAACCCATCTAGGCTTCTGAAAGTTGTTCTTCTACTAATGATCTTAATCTTCTTTCAATTAATTTGGCATACATTTTCCATTTGTGGCTTAATAGTGCTATTCCTCTGTAATTAGTGCGTCTTACTCCCTTTATTTTTCCATATTGGTATAATTATTGCTGTTTGCCAGTGGTCTTGGTGTTACCTTGTTCTAGCCAGGCAGTCTGGAAAATTTGCGTGACCCATTTTGCTCTTGTTTTTTCAGCTGCTTTGATGGCTTCTACAGGGAGATCATCAATACCAGTCGCATGTGCCTTGGTGCTATCTTTATTACATTTTCAACTTTTGTCAATAAAATTTCTGGCTCTAGTGTATACGTCTCTTCTGCTGTATTTGTTATAGTATTGTTGTTAGCATTGTCATCTTTATTCTTTAAATTTAGTATTTTTTTTTAAATAGTGACTCCATCTTTCTAGAATCATTTTGGGGCCTAGAATAAGTTGTCTTTGTTAATCAGTTAGTATTTCTGTTAGATTCTTTTCCTCATTGCTTTGTCTTATCACTCTTACTTTTTTTGTAAGTTTCTTATTGCGGCTTTTTCTTTTTCTTCAAACTTCTCCCATTATTCTTTTTTGGCTGTTCTTATTGCTTTATTGGCTTCTTTTCTGGCTTGCCTATACCTTGTGAAGTTTTCTTTTGTTCTGTGTTTTAACCAGAAATGATAAGCTTTCTTTTTGTTTTTCACCATTTCTTTTTTTAAATTATGAATTACTTAAATGAATTCAGTAACTTTATTAAATCTGTTGTTTTCACAGTGAAAAACAAGATGATAGGATTCGACTAGAAATAATTGACAGTGATGTTTTCAATCCTACCAAAGCAGTTTCATTAATATCACAGTTTTACAGTAGTGGTAAGTCTAGCTGGTTGTTTTTTATTTCTTGTTAGAAACTCTTCTACAGCTGTTAGATATCTACTCTTTTTTCTTCTTCTTGTACCATTTTTCTCCCCTTATAGCATGGCCATCACCTGACTTAAACTTCATCTTTTGTTATCCCATGCAGTAGATCAGCCTGTATTATTCATTCATTTTTTTATTCTCTTTTCCATGTATTTTTAACTCTTTGAGTACCAAGAAACGCATTACCCACTAATTGGTTACAACCTAGCTACCCAGTTGTCATGTGACAAGTGAAGGTTTTAAATTTACCATTGACCAGTAATGAAATACGGACCGCTAAATTTTAACTTTTTTTTTCCAGTTCTTTGTGTTTGATATCAGGTGTGCTGATCATCAGACTCATTTGGAAACATTGTTAAAAGCGTAAATATAGTATATTTGCAAGATTTACTGAGTTACTAAGTGTTTGTTTGAAAACTATATGGTCGCCAAGCAGTATTCTACATGCATGTCAACATGTTTTACGGCTTTAAGAGCCTCGCATTTAAATACAGCATGTGTTTATTAGATTTATCTGAAGTTAGATAAGAAACTTTGGGAAGTAGACTTGTTTCAATCATTTATAGAGTCAAACTGTAATGAGGGATAGCTCTGATGTGTACCTCACGCAAAGGGTGCAATGATATCAAAGTCAGCTGGCACAAATAGAATAAATATTAGTGTCAATTAAGTCTAGTGCTATTCCCCTTATTATTTAAGAACATAGCTACAAAATTACTGGCAAATTGAGTGTTATATAAACTTAGTTCTTTATGAACTATTTTTTGGCCAACACTATGCTATCAATGCCAAACGTGGACACTTACATCCTCCAATGAACGTAAAATTGTGACAACAGAGATGAAATGCCTTAGAAGAGCTGCCGGAGTTTCAAGGAAAGACAGAATACTAAATCCTGAAATCAGACGAATGCTAGGAATAAAGCCAGTCTTACAGGTCATCAAAGAACAACAAATGAAGTGGTTTGGACACCTAACAAGAATGCCCTGGTACTATCCGCCACAGCGAGCCACACTAAAACGTTACAACGGGTATAGAGCGAGTGGAAGACCTCGGAAAAGATAGAGTGATGGCATTAAGAACAGCCTTACAGAAATGAACATCAGTCTTAATAGTGCTCTTGACAGAGCCCATCAACGAACATTACATCTCCCCCCCCGACACTTCGATGAGGTACAAGGTGGAAGAGAAGAAGAAGAAGAAGAAGAAGAAGTTCTTTATGATGATACTGGTTATCTTGGGTAGTTGGTTCTCTTTAGCAAATAATGAGGCTATGTTATGATGCTCTAAGAGATTCTCTGGCTAAAGATTTAATGTACAGATTGAGTTTATGTTTTACCTATACATTACCAAGCGGTTCTTGTTCATTTATAATTTATTTTGTGTTTATTTCAACGAGTTTTTCTTGAGCGCCATGGTGGAAATTGGAAAAATTATTATTTTATTTTACTTATTTCTGTATACCTACCGTCTGTTTATTTACTAATATTTGACTACTAATGCAATTTGTTGTTCTAGTAGTATTCTATTATTATTCCCCAACATTCCCTGATCACTTGATGTTTAGTATGTGTATATTGAATGGCAGCTGAATTTGTATGCTTTAATATGTTACACTTGTGCAATTAAAAAATTGCATTGCCACCCCTTGAGCCTCGATGCTAAACTTCCTGGGACTCAAAGAGTTAAGTGTCTCTCTCCCTTCCTCCCTCCCGAGTATGTATTAAAATATATGTTTCTTTTGTCATTTGTGTTTCAGTGCTATGACATTCTCATTAAACTTTTATTATGTTTTCTTGGTGTGTGTCCTATCTAGGAAACTAACCTCTGTAATTATACATATACATACTATACATATAATTTATGTTAGGACTATGCTTAGTGATAAAGTATTTCTATTTATTTTAAATGAACTTAATACAATGCAAACCAGATAATGAGAACTCATCAGGGACCTAAGAAATAGTTCTTCTTATTAGAAATACCTCTTATTCAGATAAGAGTTTAAGCAAGAAAAATTGTTGAGGATAAACAAATTATTCTTCCCAACAGAAATTTGCCACATCTAAAATCGCCTTAAGGGGTCATTGTACACAAGTGTTGAATGTGACAAGTGACACTGTGAGGAAGAGAAGTATTTTTAATGAGCCCCTAAAAATATAGCTTTTTTATAATGTGGGCCTAATTATGCATTCCTAAATACCTTTTTTGTTTGTGTATGTTATGTGGTCTGAGTAAGCCATCCTTCTTTCTTCACTTTTTTTTAGAGAATTGCTCTCCGCTAACACTTTCTTGTCATCATTTAAATGTTACTTTTCCTTTATTTATTTGTGTCATAACTTATTTTTTTCTTCCTCAATTCCAGATCAGAGAAATTTATTATTTCTTTACTTTCCGTGTAGGCTCTAGGGCCCCTTTTGGGCGGGAGGGGGTTTGGGGGTTGTACACACTGGCCCTTACAAGTGAGGGATAAGTTGTGCCATAAAGCACAAATATTGCAGCCTCTAGCTGTAAATCTAGCTCATGTATGGCTCAATGAATTCTGCTTAAAGAGATGGCACCTTGATTGATTGATTGATTGATTGATTGATTGACTGAGCTGTAGAACATAATGCCAGACACTCTTTTTAAAGGTGAATGCAGAAGAATAAGAAGAATTAATGAAGGTTTAGGTAAGTCAGTCAATCAGATGCCTTCTCCAAAGTGAAGCTTTGTTTCAATGGATCTCCAACTCTGAATCAGTCAAATGTTTTTTGTTTGTTTTGTTTTTAATTCCAGATCAGTCAAAGCTGCAGGAAGCTCTAAACCTTCCCAAGCTTGTAATCAACTGTTTGGCTGCTCTCTTAGAGTACCTGAAGAGCTTTCACCTGGAGCGGGTTCTCTCAGTTACCAGGTTTATGATTTAGTTTCGTCAGGTGCCCTACATGGCAATAAATATGATGATATACTGAACACAACACTGACTAAAATAGCTCAGTTGGGGGGGGGGGGGGGGGGGGGGGGGGTAGTCTTAGTTTCAGCTTCATAGCAAACGGGTCACCCTATCTTTGCTAAGCTCCTGTGCCAATGAAAAACACACAGAATGTTTATCACTGTCCCTTGTGGAAAGATTTACAGACTGCTGTCTCCGCATATCTAGCATACACACGCATTAAAGAATACGGTAGCCATCCGAAGTGCTAACACTAACAGTCCGACATTAGAAATACAGTTCATCATTAATGGTAGCAGAAGTCACCAACAAGATCAGCAGTTGCCCAAGTGATCAATTTTAATCACATACAGGCACCACCAATATTGCGGCAACAGGCCACGTGCCATTTTCTGAATCTACAATTCACACCACCACGTTGGTCACAGTCGAAAAAAACATTCCAAATGAAATCCGCAGCTCACAGTGTCATGCCATGCATTCAACTCAGAAGCTGGGCGACGAAACTGTGTCCAGTCTACAAATGGAGCAAAAATGCATCGCCCACCGTCCGGCAGAAGCAAAAAATTTACCTTGGCTGCAAACAGTGCCCCTGCCTATCATCCATTTTGACCGGATTTTGGGGATCATCTGTGGAGTTTGTTCTCTGTGGCTGTGTGGTTAGCTGTTCTGTGAACAGAGACCAACCCATATGGAATAAAGCCTGTCGCAATGTAGTCAGTCCTCTCAACTTTATTTTGACCTAAGTCTTTATCAAGGGATTACTAAATACAGCAGGGACGAGGACTGCAATACTTAACAGACAAGACAACAGAACTTATAAACAGCCAAGGACAACATAAAGAAAAAAATGTGGACATGAAGGGCCATATTCTGGATTAAAACAAAAAAGATGGTGGTTTGTAGTTGTAACTTTGCACATCTTTTCATTCCTTCCATTGATAATTTCAGTCACAGTTTTTATTGTATTTATTATTTCTTGATATCACCTTGACTGTTGTAACTCTTACTTATGTCATCACTTTAGATGCTAGTAGATATGATGTGGTTTTTTTTTTTTTTTTTGGTTCATGACAAGATAACCAAACCAAATGAAAAGTAGAACCAGTAAGCTTCACATTATCACAAACACAATTGACAAGTAAACGTTTTGGCTAGAAAGCCTTCATCAGAACATTACATGAATATACAGTACCACAAACACAAACAAGAATGCACAAAATACACTTGACTGAAGTGTCTCAGAGAGGAATTCACATATCTGATTATTGAATCTCTAACACATGTGTGGCCACCGGAAATACATACTAGCCAGAAAAAAAGACTGAACAGAAAGGGTCGTAACTTATAAATATTAGATAAAACTGTATTGGATGTTAAGTCCCCTGGACCAATTTTGAGATTCATTTAAATTTATTATTTACTTGTTATATGTGTATATGTGTATTTACACAGTTTAGTTAATAATGTTGCTATAATGTTGTTAGTTCTGTCTAAGCAGTGCCCCTGGACTTTGTACTGTCATTTGAATTTCCAAACTGTGTGACACACACACACTGGAATTCAATTTATAACTAGTCATCCTCTGGTGGGATGCAATAATTCTTCATTTTGAAGCCCCACCCTGGCTCTTGCTAGGGGTCGCAATATAGCCCGGCCATAAATATGGTCTAATGGCTGAACGCGGTTTATGGGACCTCTCCACGGGTGATCCTCATCCACATGATGGCACTTTGTGTTATCAGGTGTTTATCGCTTGTGTGATGTCCTAGTGGGGTAAAAGGTACTGCTGCTACTACACTGGAATTATGAAGTTCCTACTCTCTGCAACCTCTTGGATAGTGATCTAGCTGCTCTGCAAATAAAGACTGAGCTATACAGATTAAACCCTGTGTAATGAAGTCAATTCTCTCATCATTAATTCTTCTTCTTCTTATAGTCCATGCTGTAAAGTGTTGGTGGTCATGTCTATCCACAACCTTCCGTCTCATGTACTTTCAGGTAATTCTGAAACATGAACTTCCATGCCATGATGACAAACTGTCCGGAATCTTCTCTTCTTGTTTTTTTTTTTTTTTTAGATCTGAGTTTTTAAGTTTTTTGATGTATAGGAACTGTAATAAAGCTATTTATTTCTCTGTTATGTAACCTATAACATTCTTGTCTACTTCTAGCAACTTGTGTCAGTTCTCCCGAAGATCTAAACACATGTTCTTAAACAGCAGGAGCCTTCACAGCCTTGAAGTGTTCTCCAACTCGTGTGATGGGACAGAAAAGGGTTCCTTATTCTGGGTTCTCAACCATACCTGCACCAGATTTGGGGCTCGGCTGCTACGCAAATGGCTTACCCAGCCACTGCTTGCTGTTGAGTCAGTAATATTTTTGCAAGTTTTAATTTTAAACATATTTAACTGACATTAATCATTTACATCTTTCAGAAATGTAATTGTTTATTATGCAGAAATAATTGTCTGTCTTCTTCTACTGTTATTATTCTTTCACATTAAAAGTGAATTCACTGGACAAGTCCTGGAAAAAGAACTGAGCAATGAGAGGGAATAGTATGTTTGTCTAAATGTACAGATTGTTTAAACTCTGAGAACGTACAGAATGTTAAATGTTGAATTAAGTATCAACATCACAGCACTCGGGACACCCCCATAAGCGTTTCCTCCCCATCTTCAGCAGCAAGGGAAGAGTTAAAATTCTGATGGTACCTGTAACTGATTGTATATCCGTCTCACCCCTCCCCTGAGTGTTGATCCCCTTTAACTTCTCGCAGTGCCATTCTCCTCAGACCGTAATGATCTATCTTTTCCTCGGCACTGTTCACTTCACTCCCAAAGGGCCCTCACAACATCCAGCTTGTCATATCAGTTAACCGCCAAGTGGTGCAGATCCAGCCAGTCTATCTGCCTGCTCATTTCCCAACACACCGGCATGACCTGGAGAAAATATCCAAAGGATGCTAACTACCGGGGACCTTTGAAGTGATGAGAATGTACAGAAGGCAAATAATAAGACAATGCACATATGAGACTGCGGCTCGCCTGCTAATCGGAAGGTCATGGGTTTGGGTCCTGATAGGGTCCAGATTTTTTCCTAAAATGACTTTGGCTTCCAGGTCGACTCAGCCTTGAGTGGGTACCAGGTACAGTCCTGAAAAGTAAAGGCGGCCAGCGTGATTGTGACCACATCGCCCACCAAGGGCCGTTTGGTCTATAAAACATAGGTCTAGCCATATATACTCAATACGCCTGATGGTGTGGAAAAGGGCCCTTTACTTACTTTACATATGAGACTACAGCTTGAAGAATTAACCCATGTGGGACATTTGGCAAGAGTGAATGAATGAAGAATTGACATTGCTGCACTTTGGACAGTCTGAGATTTGCTCCACCAAAGATAAGTAACATGAAACTTTACCAGGCATGTCATAAGTGGCAGTGAAGAGTTGGGTTGAGTTTGTTTTGTTTTGTTATGTTATGTTATGTTATGTTATGTTATGTTATGTTATGTATGTTATGTTACCTTACATTGGGTATTCCCATGTGTGCTCAGTCCTCTGATGCAGAAACCATTTCAAGCTACTTTTACTGTTTGTTTCCATGAGAAGTTAGTTATAGTATCTTCTATCTTGGCCTCACAGACAGCATAGACATGCTTCAGCAAGCTTTACTCTCAGTTTATGCAAGCATGTTAGCGTCAGAGATTCTTTACTTTCTTTACCTTGACTTCGTGTTAGTACCCAATCATGTAATTTTTTAAAAAAAATGTTGGAAGTCCTTTTTTACATTTTCCACCCCAAACAGAGCATCCTTGACCTTTCATTCATTATTTCCTGACCTGTCACACGCACTGATCTATGTTAGAGGGTTGTCTGGTTGTGTTCAAGAAGAGCTTTCTATATTGTGCGTCATGTTGGCGGCGAGCTAGACATTGTGTTTTACTTGTTGTTGTGAGCGGGCGGGCACATTCCGTATATTACGGAGTTCAAGTACGACATGAATTTAGTTCAGTTGTCATCATTGACTAGCGACAAGGAGAACAACATTGCATTTCTGCGGCAAGATGGGTTTTTAGTGCACACCAGAAAATGTTAACAATTCTGAAACCATGGGACCTAGTCTGGACTCCCTCAGGAGACATAGGCTGAGGCTGTGGGGGGGTGGGGGGGGGCCTTGGGGTTAGGGCCAGTTGTAGATGTTGTGGGGTCATTAAAAGCGGTCAGATCTTGTAATATAGAGCACAGGATATCGCTGGTGATAGCATAGAAAACAGTAGAACGTGACACTCTCTCGTGGGATGTAGACTAAGGCTGTGCAGTAAGGGGGTTGGGGTTAGGGCCAGTTCTAGATGTTATGGTGTCTTTTAAATCGGTCAAATCATGTAATATAGTACATGCATCAAGAGTGTTGAAGATAGCGCTACATGATACCCCTGTGATATAGACTAGCTCGTATGAAAGGTCAGGTAGCATGACTAAAAGGCTAATTACATTGTGTTTTGGGCAGAAACAAAAAAAAAAAAGAATCTTTTTTTTTTTATAAATACAAAAGCAAATCAATTATAAACATGTATAAGAAGGCTTGGTGTGAATTGACTGATGGTCTGTACTTCTTTGGTGGGATAAAGGTCACTAGTGAAGAAGAAAACATTGATTTGATTTGATTTGATTCAAGAACCGACATCACAGCACTCGGGGCATTCCCATAAGCGCTCTGTCCCCATCTTCAGCAGCCAGCGAAGAGTTCCGGATACTAATGGTGCCAGTAGCTTTCTGATTAAACGTCCGTCTTGCCTTTGAAGAAGAAAACTTAATATTCTAAGTTTTAGCACATGGTAACTTCATAACAGGATGAGAAGTGCCTTATCGAAACAGGCTGTATATGAAAAATGATTTTACAAATTAGAGAAGCCCTACACTGTAGTAGCAAAAAAGCTAGTTTCTAGATGCTTAAACACATGAAAATGTTACAAATATACTCAGGGAAATCCAGGCTCGTCTGGACGCTGTCCAGGAGCTAGTTGATGGCAGTTTTCACGGCCTCACAGGAATCCAGCAAACCATGGCCAAACTTCCTGACTTGGAGAGAGGATTGTGTTCTATATTTCATAAAAAGGTGAGAATAATTGTATAGTTTGTCACAGGTTATGTGCTTTGTCTGTTGATGAACTTTATATATTGTTCCGTTCATTAAATGTTTATGTACTTTATGTTTTGTTTCTTTAGACATTTTTAGCAGCTGGCTGAACAGATAGAATGCTGGACTCTTAAGTGGGAGACCCGGGTTCAAATCCTCGGTAAGGGTGGGGATTTTTTTCTGTTGAAAGGCAAAATAAAATTCCTCACCTGCACAGCCGTGGCGACAGCAGTAGCCAACTGCCATAAATCCTCAGGCTCAAAGACCCCCGTGCCTGCACCACAAAAGCTTGTGTAATAAAAGGCAGTAATTAGCAGTTTCTTATACATTTTTGCTTTTTTTTTTTTCACTCCACTCTGTTGTCCCTGGAGAGTTAGTTTTTCTGTTTTTGCAGGTGTTTGATGACATGATGTCCGTAGACAGTGACCACCATGCCTCTATAAAACCTGTGGTACTTGTTGCACCTGTATAGTATATAGACTTGGTGTTATGATTATATTTAGGAAAATAAAAGTTTTGAGATTTTTTTTAGGTTGACAAAAAAATGCCCTTTTTTTTGTGTCAGTGTAGCGTCATAGTAATCTCAGCATATAAATAAGGTCACTTTGCTCCAAAAAGTTCCACAACAAAGTTTTTGCATAACAAGAAAGCAAGTACCACCATTTGATAAAATTTACCAAGACTCAAAATTTCTTCTGCTTCTTCTTCTCAAAGAATTATGACAGTATGTTTCTTTTTCCAAAATTGTAAAAAAAAAAAGGCATTTTGTTAAAGATTTTTTTGAAGTGAAAAGAATTAGTAACTTTATATATGTATGTGTTTGTGTGTGTGTGTGTGTGTGTGTGTACTGCAGAGTAATGAACCGTTATTGTTTGTTTAAGTGGCCTATTGACAACACTGTATCATGTTGTTTATCTTTGCAGTGTTCTGTGATTGAGTTTTGCAGTGTGCTGAAAGCATTAGAGAAAGTGAGGAAAGAACTTTGTAGCCTACATGTGCCTGCAAAATCATCTTTGTTGCAGTCCTTACTGTGCAACATACCAGAATATCTGGAGGATGTATCAGAGTTTTCTTCACAGATAAACGAAAAAGCTGCCAAGTATGTTCACAGTTTTCATATTGCAGTTGGAGGTTATTAGAAATTTCGGTACTTATCACGAACCCGCTCACACGATAAGAGTTCCTTCCCTTCCCATTCATGCTGCATTGGGTCGCACAGCCTGTCCTATGTTGCTGGGGTATCAGTTATTCCTTTTTTTTTTCAATGGTTTAACCATTGTCTTTTTTCTGTTGCTGTCACCGCTCACTTGCGTGATTATTTCTGTGTTGTGCTATTTGCCGAACGGTTCGGGAGTCTGGAAACTGCAATGTTTTTGTATTTCTGTGTTCCTTGTCAGTGGCTTGTTTTTCTGGTGGAATACCACCGCCAGAAAACATAGAAATCCAAAAAACATCCAAGTTCTGATACTCACAAACAGTTGAGCCTTTGGCGCTTTCCCCTGTGGTACCTCTTACTTGTACACAGGCACCTGCAGTGCCTCAAAGAGACTCAAAACAACACAACCTCCCACAAACATTATATACGGTGAGCGAACGCGGAACGAAGCCATATCATAACACCCCCACAACATAGGACAGACAATCAACCTGCCGTGACATGAATGGGAAGGGAAGGAACTCTTGATGTACCGGCAAGCTCATGATAAGTTTCAAATAATCTGTTTTTTCAGATACATTGTAATAGGCTATTAGAAATATCTCTTTGTCAGATACATTGTAAGAGGATATTATAATTATGTATTTATCTATTTATTCATTTATTGTGACATCCTACTTGAATTATCTATTTGTCAGATACATTGTAACAGGCTGTTGGAATTTTCTATCCATTCTGCAGAGGATCTGCTGTATGATAGTGAATGACTGCTTAAACAGTGTGAGTTAAAGTAACACTTAGTTCGGCAGGAAAGAGTTAATCAGGCCGAAACTGGTACCATCAGTATAAGATATTTTTTGTTGTTGCTACCAAATGGTTTGAGTGCAGAGAAGTCAATTCTTCATTCATTTACATATTTCTGCAGGGAAAATGACAAGTCCAATTTATTTGAGGATGACAGCAAGTTTCCAGTGATAGGGAACAGAAAAGATGAGATAAGCAAATTGGAAAAACTCATCCAAGAACACCTCAGAGAGATTCGGCTGACCTTGAAACAACCATCCTTGAAGTATGTCACAGTCAATCAGATAGAGGTAATAATGGTTCTAAGCATGTACAGGAGAGATGTCTTTTCTTATGTTTCTCTTTTTTCTCACTGCATTTATGTCTGTCTATTTTTCTGTCTTGCTCATTGATTTTAATCTGTTGTATAAATCTGAACCTAAACCTTGAGATACAAAATATGTGTGAAAGAGTAGTTCTTTGAAAGGGCCAAAGGTAGATGGCATACTGTTCAATTTGAACCTCTCTAACTGTTTCTATACTGAGGAACACATCACACATTGTTTAACATCCTCTGGTAAGAAGTAGTTCAAATTAATAAAATGGACACAAACAATACATCAAACAGTTTTTTGCCAGGTATATTTCACTATTTCTCATCAGGTGCATTCCAGTAGAGAACCATTTATGAGTTCTGTATTCTGTATAAGCATAGTTTGTATTCATCTCAGTGCTGAGGGCTGTACACATAATATTTATAATCTTGATATGATTTAACATTTTAATTACTAGCTGTGGTGATCTAGTTGTTTATTCGGTCATTAGGTCCTAGCTGTGGTGATCTAGTAGTTTATTCAGTCATTAGGTCCTAGCTGTGGTGATCTAGTAGTTTATTCAGTCATTAGGTCCTAGCTGTGGTGATCTAGTAGTTTATTCAGTCATTAGGTCCTAGCTGTGGTGATCTAGTAGTTTATTCAGTCATTAGGTCCTAGCTGTGGTGATCTAGTAGTTTATTCAGTCATTAGGTCCCAACTGTGGTGATCTAGTAGTTTATTCAGTCATTAGGTCCCAACTGTGGTGATCTAGTAGTTTATTCAGTCATTAGGTCCCAACTGTGGTGATCTAGTAGTTTATTCAGTCATTAGGTCCCAACTGTGGTGATCTAGTAGTTTATTCAGTCATTAGGTCCCAACTGTGGTGATCTAGTAGTTTATTCAGTCATTAGGTCCCAACTGTGGTGATCTAGTAGTTTATTCAGTCATTAGGTCCCAACTGTGGTGATCTAGTAGTTTATTTGGTCATTAGGTCCCAACTGGACCTGGTTCATATCTTAATAATCATACTTTTTATGTTGTTTTCATGCGATTTTGGCTGTAAAATGTCATAACATTAATTCAGAGGATCTTTTCACAAATAAATGTGTTGTGTGACACTTGCTCACACAGCAAATGGCCATGACACCATGTCATAAAGGTGACATTTAAGAAAGGTTACTTTTACTTTAGAGGTAAGAAATTGTAGTGACTAGGTATTTGCCTGAGGACCCAAAAGCTTGGATTGTGATCTGCTTTGGGTTGGATTTTTATGAATGACTTAGAACTTGCAAGTTTTTTTTAAAGTAAAAAACCCTTTTCAGGCCAGTGGCACATCAGACATATGATGCTAGACACATACTTTTTAACGAGTTGGCACTCGCTTGCTGATGTGGTCAGATTGGCTGGCTGCTTTTTCTTCCCATGTCACTTTGAAGAAGAAAAGTTTCCTGAACCCAGTACCTTTAGACCAGCAGGCAAGCATTGGCTGTAGCGCCCCCACTTCCAGGTTGACCTTGCCTAAAATGAGTACCAAGAAATGTCATGGGAAGTGGTTTTGACCACATCATCTATCAACTGTCTTCTTCTTCTTCTTCTTCTTTCATTCGCCTGAAATAAGTTGTCTATATCAGCAATTTTGTCTCTTGTATAAATTTCACTGTTGTTGTTAATTCATTCAGTGGTCCATAGAGTTTATGTTCCACTGTTGTTCTTTCTGGCCAAAAGGTTTGCCTTAATGTGTCAAATTCGGTGCAGTCCTGGAGTACATGCTCTGCTGTCTGGGGCACCTTTCCACAGGTGCACATGGCTGATACGCCTATCTTGAATTTTGTGTACATGTGGTTACGTAATCGGTTGTGCCCCGTTCTGAGGCGGAGGATAATGACTTGTTCTGATCTGTCCATAATAAAATAGTCGTCTTGTGCTGGGGCTGGTGGTTTCCTGATTGATTTAATGATTCTTTTCTTTTGGTGGTATGTGACTGGTACATCCGGCTGCACTTTTGTCGCACCTTCTCCTGCCAGTTGATCAGCTTTCTCATTTCCAGGCACTCCACAATGTGATGGTATCCACTGCATTACAACTCTTTGCTGAAGGCTAAGTTGTGTCAGCAGTGTTTACAATTCTGGTAGTTTCCTAGACTGGAGTGCTTCAAGTACTGATTTTGCATCTGTCAGCATTACCACATACTGTGAGCCAAGATTGGTATTTAGCAGTTTCTCTGTTGCTATCTTGATAGCCTAAGTTTCTGCATCATAGTTATGGCAGTACTTTCCGGTTGGTACGCTGGACTTATCCCTAGTACCATCTGGGAATTCTATGTACACTCCAGCACCACCATTTCTAACTGCACTTTCTGCAGACCCATCTGTATAGATATCAAATGTCTATTAATCTAACAACAACAAAATGGGTCTCGTATGAACAGTATACTAAAAATGCAAAGATTGTCCTTTACTTTGTTTCATGCTTTAACTTTCTTTCTTACTTTTATTTTACTTCTATTACTGAACATAGCCTAAACATCTCATTTTATTTTATTTTTGTGCTATTCATACAGCAAAGGATGTAACATTATAAACTGCTATAATTCAAAAATGATATCTGGAAATTAATTCACTGAACTAAGAACATAATGACACCAGAAAGGGGAAAACCACACACAGGAGCAGTCAGACGGTTTGGCATCATCCTTTATTGTAGAGGTTTTTGTCTGTTATTATTGTGGTTTTTCTTCATTCTTCTGGTTTTTTGTTGTTGATAACGCCAAAACATTCAGTTGTTTCTGTTTGTGTGTTTTTCCCCTTCCTACCTTCATTAATCTTCTTAGTCATAGTTCGTTTGATTAATTTAAATAATTTATAAACCAAACATGAAACTGAATACAAAACAACACATGCATTTATATATCACAGTTATGAATATTTTGTGGCAGTTAGCACACATATATTCTGAAGAAGTTGGAGCTTTTATATGTTTGTCGTGGGTTCAGTGACATTACCAGGTAATCTTGCATTTCAGTTTCTTGCTGAGGTGAAAAACAGCCAGACTGACCTAGTTCCATCAAACTGGACACTGATAAGCAGGTTTGTCTGTGTGGTTTCTGTTGTGTGGACTGAGATGTTTGGTTTCTGTTGTGTGGACTGAGATGTTTGGTTTCTGTTGTGTGGACTGAGATGTTTGGTTTCTGTTGTGTGGACTGAGATGTTTGGTTTCTGTTGTGTGGACTGAGATGTTTGGTTTCTGTTGTGTGGACTGAGATGTTTGGTTTCTGTTGTGTGGACTGAGATGTTTGGTTTCTGTTGTGTGGACTGAGATGTTTGGTTTCTGTTGTGTGGACTGAGATGTTTGGTTTCTGTTGTGTGGACTGAGATGTTTGGTTTTTAGTGTGTGGTTTCTGTTGTGTGGACTGAGATGTTTGGTTTCTGTTTTGTGGACTGAGATGTTTGGTTTCTGTTGTGTGGACTGAGATGTTTGGTTTCTGTTGTGTGGACTGAGATGTTTGGTTTCTGTTGTGTGGACTGAGATGTTTGGTTTCTGTTGTGTGGACTGAAATGTTTGGTTTTTAGTGTTTGGTTTCTGTTGTGTGGACTGAGATGTTTGGTTTCTGTTGTGTGGACTGAGATGTTTGGTTTCTGTTGTGTGGACTGAGATGTTTGGTTTCTGTTGTGTGGACTGAGATGTTTGGTTTCTGTTGTGTGGACTGAGATGTTTGGTTTCTGTTGTGTGGACTGAGATGTTTGGTTTCTGTTGTGTGGACTGAGATGTTTGGTTTTTAGTGTGTGGTTTCTGTTGTGTGGACTGAGATGTTTGGTTTTTAGTGTTTGGTTTCTGTTGTGTGGACTGAGATGTTTGGTTTCTGTTGTGTGGACTGAGATGTTTGGTTTCTGTTGTGTGGACTGAGATGTTTGGTTTTTAGTGTGTGATTTCTGTTGTGTGGACTGAAATGTTTGGTTTTTAGTGTTTGGTTTCTGTTGTGTGGACTGAGATGTTTGGTTTCTGTTGTGTGGACTAAGATGTTTGGTTTCTGTTGTGTGGACTGAGATGTTTGGTTTTTGTTGTGTGGATTGAGATGTTTGGTTTTTGTTGTGTGGATTTAGATGTTTGGTTTTTAGTGTGTGGTCTCTGCTATGTGGTCACTGCTGTGTCATCTCTGGTCTCTGATCTTTGTTATGTCATCTTTGATCTGTGGTTTGTGTTGTATGTTCTCTTTTGTGTGGTCTTGGATGTGTGGTCTGTATTGTATGTTCTCCTATGTGTGGTCTCTGTTGTATGTTATCCTATGTGTGATCTTGGATCTGTGGTCTGTGTTGTATGTTATCTTATGTGTGATCTGTGGTCTGTGTTGTATGTTATCCTATGTGTGTTCTTGGATCTGTGGTCTGTTTTCTGTGTTATCCTATGTGTGATCTTGGATCTGTGGTCTGTTTTCTGTGTTATCCTATGTTTGATCTTGGATCTTTGGTCTGTTTTCTGTGTTATCCTATGTTTGATCTTGGATCTGTGGTCTGTTTTCTGTGTTATCCTATGTTTGATCTTGGATCTTTGGTCTGTGTTGTATGTTATCCTATGTGTGATCTTGCATTTGTGGTCTGTGTTCTGTGTTATCCTATGTTTGATCATGGATCTGTGGGCTGTGTTGTATGTTCTCTTATGTGTGGTCTTTGCTCTGGGGTATGCTATATGTGGTTTCTAGTGTGTGGTCTATGATGTGTAGTTTGAGCCTTTTAAAAATTATTTTTTTTTTTAGATCACATATCATTTCCAACATGGGGCCAATTAAAAACTAAGAAAGAAGAGAAGAAAAACACAATAGAAATTTAAAAAGATTATGAAACAAAAAATTATGAATCAAGCAGACTGATGTCTCCAAGCAGTATAACTTGTCCAGATACACTATAGCTACAGTTCCCAAAAGAGCAGATTTGTATATGAAACTGGATATCGCCAGTATCTGTCTTGTCGTCTGAAAGAAATAAAGTTAGGGAAGAAATGGAAACTTTACTACTTGTCTGGATTATTGACCTCCTCACTATTGATCCATTTCTTTGCATTTTCTTAATTTAGGTGAGAGTAGATTGTTTTTTTTTTTTTTTTTTTTTTTTTTAAATAAATGTTCTTTCTGTTTTTTTTAAATCTGAGAATGGATTGACTGATTTTCCATAAGATATAATGGGAAAGTGGGTTTCAAGATACACATTTTTGAGATGCCAACCACATTCAAGAACAAATTAAGTTCAATAATTGACACACCGCTGTATTTCTTTCCCTTTGACCTTTTATATTAACATAAATGCTGTATTCTCAGATGTTGGCTTGGCAAGGAGTTTAAATATTTTTTGTAAACTATTGGGATTTTCTTACTTTCATATGGTGCAGTGGCTAGCATACATGCTGGCTAGCAGAGAGGTTCATTTTTCAAATCCCCATCAAGGTAGGGGTCTCTCTGGTGAAGTGGTCAAACTATTTGTCTCATGGTGTGAAGGCTGTAGGTTCATTTCACAGACTGCTTTGTTTTGCTCACAAATACAGTTTTACCGAGACCCCTGAAAATTGCTACTGGAGCTATGAAGTCCATACTTTGTGCTACACTTTTGCTGGGGGGCCAGTCCTTCTGCAGAGAGAGAGAGAGAGAGAGAGACCAAGCCATATGGGATAATATCCAAAGCAGTTCTTTCAACTTTAACTTAATTCTTTCTTATATTTGATCACAGTGTACTAAGAAAATCTGGCTAATCTTTCAGTCACTTCATTGCCTGTTTGGCATCTTCAGAAGCAAATCACACCTAATTTTAAATAGTAATCACCACCTTCTTTCCCTTAGGATCTAATAAACACTCTGGTACTGAGCGAGTTGGGAGCCGCCGTGGTCTAGCAGCTAGACAGAAGGTCCAGGGTTCGGGTCCTGATGGGACCAGACTTTTTTCAAAAATGACTTTGGCTTCCACGTCCACCCAGCCTTGAGTTTATGTTAGTATAAATTACTCTGTGCTTTTAAGTTAGCACGTATTCAAATAAGTATAATTCTAATAATATTTATAATCCAATCCACACAGCACAAAGGTGGTATCCAGATATCATACTCCTTACGTGGTTGAGCACTACCGGAAGCTGAATGAACTCAGAGAGCAATTAATTCTGGATGTTAATGTTTGCTGGCAAGAGTTTCTCGAGTAAGTATTCTTCAGAGCTGATGGTTAGATTTGTTTATCACCCATGTATTTATTACAATAAATAATAAGTAAATCATTGGATTGATGTGTTTTTATTTTAATACAGTGTTTTCAATAGAAAAAAAATCTGATGTTATTACATATTTTGTTTCATTTACTAATCCAGGCAGTTCTCATCTCAATTTACAAGATACCAAAGGGCAGTAACTGCTTTAGCAAGTTTAGACTGCCTTATGTCCCTGGCTACCACAGCACGTCAAGGCTCTTTCTGCAGGTGTGTATTTTTTTGAGTTGTTACTGTCTTTGTAGAGACACAGATAAGGTCCCTTGGTATGACAGAATCACTAATGCTGAGCTTTTGGAGAGAACGTAACAAAATTTTAGTGAATTAAGAGGTAAAGAAAAGAGCTGGTAGATGGGGAAGTTAAAAAGAAAGGAAAGACATGGTGTTGCCCATAACAAAGGATAGAACAACATGGCATGAGCTGATTGAGGGTCTATGCTCCATTGGAAGATAAAGGGCAAAAGATGAAGATAAGGTCCTAAAAAGATCACCATAAATAGATTGTGAGGCTCTCCTGTAAACTACGGCCGGTAGACAACAGTAGACGGCCGGTTAGTCAGAGTTCTGTCCCTTGGCTACAGTGCAATTACTCTGACTAACCGGCCGTCTACTGTTGTCTACCGGCCGTAGTTGACAGGAGAGCCGATTGTGAGTATAAATATTGCTGTGTGTACATAGGATGCTTGTTTTAGTTACTATATTAGTATCCTGGCCTCATAAACATTTACACAGGCATGAACACAACCAGCAGCATTAACTATACATCTCACAAACAGGTCGCTATACAGGAAAATTGACCTCTACAGAAATAGTCATTTTTGTGACTTCTCAAAGTGAAAGGGTTAAGTTAAACATAAATCTTTGAGTAGGTTAAGGGCCTATGCTTCAGTAGGAGATGAAAGCCAGAGGAACTATGTGTGTCTGTCTGGCTGTTTTTTTTTTCTTTGTGCTGCGACACATGAATATTTGACCACTTGAAAACACAGGAAATCGCATTCTGGATATCAGTCCAGTAGGGCAAATCCCAGATACCCTGTTCAGCCTTCAGTTGTGTTTACTGTAAACTGCGGTGGAAAGTTATGGTTTTTCTAGACTTTGGCTTTGTTCCAGGACCTGAGTTTTGCACATGTAGCCATTCTAGAGGTCTCCGTCAATAGTAAGCAGACTGTCAGTTTCTTGCCTCTCAAGTGTATGCACTCCCAGTGTGAAAAAAACACCGCTAGTCACCTCCTGTGGCAATCTTGTTAGAGGGGCAGTGTTTCTATTCCCTCCACCGCACCCCTCCCCCTCCCCACCCACCCACTCCCCCAGAACACCCACACAGGGAAGTTATTATTAAAGCATCTATAACAGCTACACATAGTTCTACCTCGCAGTACTGTATGAGCAAGGATAGTTTTTTTTTAAATAATTTTTAGTTTGTCCTCTTTAGCATTGCAGTCTGCTGTAGGATTAACATATCAAGGATGAGAATCAAACAGGTACAATTTCAGGAAACCCTATTCAACCGTAAAGCCATACAGCACAGTTATACAGGGGCAACAACAACGTAACCTATACTCCAGCCGGGTGGGTCATGTGAAGGATGCTGTGTGCAAAATGTAGTCTGTGTGAAATTCTTGTCTAACCTTTGGCAGCATCGAATGACACCATTTTTGTTTTGTTTCAAGACCACATGTAGATGGTGAAAGAGCTTGTATAGAGATAAAACAGGGAAGGCACCCTGTAATTGAGGCCCTGAGTCATGGACAGGAACAGTTCGTACCCAACGACACACATCTTGATGTAAGTTGTAATATGAATTTATATTGTTAATAATGCTGGTGAACTTCCGTTGTGTTTTTTCATTATTCTTTCAAGTATTTCTCTCTTTTTTTTTTTTTTATATTTCTGCTTCTTGCTGTCATGGCCACCTCAACCCATGGCCATCTCCACCCATGGCCACCTCCACCCATGGCTACCTCCACCCATGGACACCTCCACCCATGGACACCTCGACCCATGGACACCTCATGCTGTAGATGAGTTTCTATAATATTAAATTCTCCATTTTGTTCTTGATCTTCCTTTTGCTGTCTGTCCCTCTGTTGCTTGTGTATATGCTTTGTAGGGAGCATCATTCTCTCTGTGTGCTCAAGCCATTTTATTTACTGTCTTTGTATTTAATCTAGTATCGGTTCTAAATCTGTAACGAACCCTTTTCTCTTACAACTTCATCCCTTGATTATACTTTTTCTACTCACTCCTGCAGCCCTTCTCTGACAACTCATTTCCATAATTGCTAATTTTCTTGTCATGTTTGTTGTGAGTGACAATGTCTGGCATTGGTTGGCTATTTCTCACAGGACTGCTACACTATTACAGGTCCCTTTTTGGCGATGTCATCAAACCATTTTGCCTTGCGCTCTGAAGGTCGTGTGTTCATTCCAGGGTGCACTCTTCAGTTCACGAGTGCAATTTTTATGCAGATCTCTGGGGATCATCGCTGGAGCTATGGAGTTCTTGCTCTGTATGTCACTCTTGGCAGCCCAATCTGCGGAGAAAGACCGAAAATAATGGGATAAAACCTGGTGCAGTGAAGTCGACCCTTTTGACTGTAACTTTTTTTTAAACCTTTTTTTCTATTAAAAGCAGATCATTATGTGCATTTATATTTTGTATCCACATCAGGCAGACAGCCAGAGAGTGATGGTTGTATCAGGGCCAAACATGGGAGGCAAAAGCTCTTACATCCGTCAAGTTGCATTGATAAGCATCATGGCCCAGATCGGCTCATATGTGCCAGCAGAGTCAGCTTCTCTGGGGGTTGTGGATGCTATTTACACAAGGTGTGTGTCATTCAATGAATCTTACAAGTAGATGCTATTTTCACAAGGTTTGTGTCATTCAGTGAATCCTACAACTTCTGGGGTTTAAGCACATGAGGGGAGAACACTGTTGTTTATCCATCATCATCATCATCATCATCATCAGGTGTCTTGTCAACTGGCGTGGGCGATCATGCCTCTCCATAATCTGCGATCTCCTGCAGCATGTATCAGTTCGTGTGCCGACACACCTCCATGCCATGCAACAAGACTGTCAAGCATCTTCTCTCGTTGTCTTCCTCTATCCCTTTTTCCACAGATCTTTCCAGTGGTCACAACATGTTCTATTTTCCCTCATCTCATAACAAGGCCGAAAAAGGATGGCTGTCTCCTTCAGATGTCTGTGATAAGTTGTCTTCGGGCTCCCGCCTCTTTCAAAACCTCTTGGTTGCTCTTTTTGGCTGCCCAAGGTATTCTAAGCATTCTTCTGTAAAACCACATCTCTGAGGCCTCTAAAAATTGTTTGGCCTGCCTATCGATTGTCCAGGATTCACATCCATATGTTAAAACTGGATGTATGTAGCAAGCAAGAATTTTTTTTTCTAACTCTCAATGACAAGGATATATTGCACAAGATTTTTTTCATTTTATAAAATGCAGTTTTTGCCTGTCCAATTCTGTTTCTTATTTCAGTTACGCATCTTCCATCTGATGTTATCCATGTGCCCAGATACTTAAATTTCTGTACTTGTCCTAAAATAACACCATTGACTTTTATTACACATTTATTATCCATCATAATGAGGGGAAACAAAGGATTAAAACCACACTGGGAACTACTGGGGTTCAAGTACAGGGGTGGGGAATACTACAGATTGCTAAAATATTATACTTTTAGTTCTCTTGTAATTAGTATAAGATTTCTTGAGTATTCTAATCTTGAAATTTTTTTTTTTAAAGGATGGGAGCTTCTGATGAGATATTTAAAGGACGCAGCACCTTCATGGTGGAGCTGCAGGAAGCATCAGAAATCATGGCCGAAGCTACGGACAAGTCTCTGGTGATCCTTGATGAGCTTGGGCGTGGAACAAGTACCTACGATGGTGTGGCCATTGCTCATGCCACTCTGGAATATTTCATCCAGAATGTAAGTTTCTTCTGTGTACATCTTGCCATGACCTAATTCTGCAGCAGTACGGTTACTGTGTCGAAGATGAGGCATTGAAAGAGCTGACTGTAAGACAGGCTGGCATAGCCAATTTGTGAACTTTTAAAAAAAAAAAATGTGTAACTGCTTCTGCTGGATTTTGTGGCTATATGCTCACCTGCAGATCCGAAGGTCGTGGATTCAGGTCTTGAAGGAGTCAGCATTATTTTTTTTATTTTGTAATTACCTTGGCTCCCAGGTCGACCCAGCCTAAATAAGTGCCAGGTAAAGTCCTAGGAAGTAATCCACATGACCCACTGAGTGTGGATTGATCTATAAAAAATATAGAAATATATTTTTAAGTGTAGACCTGTTTGCCCAATGTGCCTAAAGGTGTGGAAAAGTGTTCTTTACTTTTACAACTTATTCTGTTTGTTTTTTTCCTCCTTCTTTGTTCACCCTCACATCTCAGCCTCAGTAGATTACAAGGAAGCATACACCATTTTGAGCTTATTGACACCTCCATGGACTTTGTCCTGAAAAGTTTGCTGCCTGCTTCTTCTTAGCCTTCACTGATGTAAATTCCGGCGGGAAGTTCTGGTTGTTCGTCCACTTCTGGACTTTGGTCTTATTTCAGGACTTTAATTTTGCCTCTACATCCGTTTTACAGGTGTAGCGTATTTATTGCTCCCTCGCCTCTTTGGCAGATGCACTCCGACCTTAAAAGAAACACCCTTAATGAGTAGCATGCTTATTAGGAAGCAGTGAGACTATTCCCCCCCCCCCCCCCCCCCCCCCATAAACTTGGCCCCTGATCCCAAACGGGAAGTCCATGTGTAATTAACAGTGACATTCCTGTTCTGAGTTATGGTATCTCAGTATACCCATTAACTTTCATTTTACTGTTACCAAATATTGTTCTGGCTCAAATATACTGTTTTGTACAGCTCTTAGACTGAATGTGGGGATGAGAGACAAGAAATTTTGAAGATGTTATAAACAGTTGACCTTGATGTAAAGATTGATCTGAAACAAATATACAGAAAACAATGTTGTCTGTCAACAGCTTTACCTATCGACTTGTTCTTCTTAGCGTTCACTGGCTGGGAACTCTGGTGGAAAGTTTCGACTGTCTGTTTGTCCACTCCTGGACTTTAATCTTAATTCAGAACTTAAGTTTTGCATACCTAGTTGTTTTACAGATCTAGCTTATTTGTATGCAGACTGTTGGTTTCTTGCCTCTCAGGCAGATGTACTTTCCTGTGAAGGAAACACAGCTAATTAGTCACCTCCTGCAACATGCCTGTTAGGACATGATTAATCTAATGTGGACATGATTAATCTGATGTTGACATGATTAATCTAATGTGGACATGATTAATCTAATGTGGACATGATTAATCTGATGTGGACATGATTAATCTGATGTTGACATGATTAATCTAATGTGGACATGATTAATCTAATGTGGACATGATTAATCTAATGTGTACATGATTAATTTAATGTGAACATGATTAATCTGATGTTGACATGATTAATCTGATGTGGACATGATTAATCTGATGTGGACATGATTAATTTAATGTGAACATGATTAATCTGATGTTGACATGATTAATCTGATGTTGACATGATTAATCTGATGTTGACATGATTAATCTGATGTTGACATGATTAATCTGATGTTGACATGATTAATCTGATGTGGACATGATTAATCTGATGTTGACATGATTAATCTAATGTGGACATGATTAATCTGATGTGGACAGGATTAATCTAATGTGGACATAATTAATCTGATGTTGACATGATTAATCTGATGTTGACATGATTAATCTGATGTTGACATGATTAATCTGATGTGGACATGATTAATCTAATGTGGACATGATTAATCTAATGTGGACATGATTCATCTAATGTGGACATGATTCATCTAATGTGGACATGATTCATCTAATGTGGACATGATTAATCTAATGTGGACATGATTAATCTAATGTGGACATGATTAATCTAATGTGGACATGATTAATCTAATGTGGACATGATTAATCTAATGTGGACATGATTAATCTAATGTGGACATGATTAATCTAATGTGGACATGATTAATCTAATGTGGACATGATTAATCTAATGTGAACATGATTAATCTAATGTGAACATGATTAATCTAATGTGGACATGATTAATTTAATGTGGACATGATTAATCTAATGTGAGGAATGTATTTGAATTTGCAGTACAGATGTTTGGTTCTGTTTGTGACTCATTTCCCTATGATGTCTGAATTCCAACTTGCTTATCCTGATCAAGTTAAAAACTTTCACATGGCTTTTCTGCTCCATGATAAAGGTGAGTTGTGGGAATAGACAAGAGACAACTTTTTTATGTAAACTTTTGATAAAATTTAGGGAGAAATTGTAGGACATGGCTGGATGTTGGTCTGCCAGCCTGAAGATCTTGGTGTTAAATCTGTATTGAGTCCAGAGGTCAGACACCGGAGACCACTTACCAGAGACTTCACACCAGAGACCATGCACCAGAGACCACGCGCCAGAGACCACATACCAGAGAACATGCACCATGACTACCCAGCAAGGCCCACACACCAGAGACCTCACACCAGAGACCATGCACCAGAGACCACGCGCCAGAGACCACACACCAGAGAACATGCACCATGACTACCCAGCAAGGCCCACATACCAGAGATATCACAGAAGAGATCATGCACTAAAGAACATGCACCAGAGGCCACACACAAGAGACCACATTCCAAAGATCATTCACACCTGAGACCTCATACCAGAAACCACACAGAAAAGACTACACTCTAGACACCACACAAAAGAAACCATTCACAATAAACTATTCATTTAAGAGTCTACATACCATTGACCACACACTGGTCCAAAGAAGTTACTTTAACCCCTTCTGTCCCAAAGAGTTGAAATTAAAAACAGTAAATACTTGTGATCTGGAGAAGTTCAAGTGAGACACAGTGGGACAAAAGCAGTTTGACTAATAGTTCAGAACCAACATGTTATTATAACAGATATCTGTAAAAGAAGACAGAAGAAGATCTTATTTTATTTTGAGTGACCAAGAAAATACAGTAAAGGTTGTTTTTTTTTTTAATACTGAAAAAGTTAATACTAAATTTTGTCACTTTGTGACCAGATAAACTCAGTGGAGTGGAACCTGTCACCTTCTTGTACCAGCTCAGTGAAGGAGCTGCAGCAGACAGCTACGGACTGAATGTGGCCAGGCTGGCAGAGATTCCAGACAGCATCTTGAGGACGGCAGCCCAAAAATCTCGGGAACTAGCAAGGAAACTTGCTAAAAAAGTGTAAATTATCTTTTTGTTTTAAATTTTCAATGATGTCTTCTGTCTCCCAATGTAACATTGGCCTTCGACTAACTCACATAGAGTCATTCTATCTTTTGCCATTAAACAACATTAAAAGTCTCTGGTTAAGCACCAGCAAGGAAATCAAAGTCAACATTTTGAGATCATGCATCTTTCCTGTAGCAGCATACAGATGTGGATATAAATCATGGACTATCTTGCAGTCCTTAAGAAAGAAAATAGGGGCTTTTGAACTGAAATGTTGCAGAAAGATTCTCAGAATACCATAGACAAAGAAAACAAGAAATACAGACATTGTAACAGATCTGAACATCAAGGAAGATTGGCTAATAAACAGCATCTTGCTCTGAAACTGAAATATTTTAGTCATATAAGGCACAGATTAGAAAAAAATAATAGCAGACGGCATGGTACCAGGAAAGAGAGGCACAGGCTAACCAGCACGAAGATGGGCACAATATAAGTGACAACTTGGGTGGGAAATTGCATGAGGTGGGAGCGCTGGTGATAGACCACGTTTCTTTTAGCCTGACCATGATGAGAGTGATGTTCTGCAAAGGACCTGCTACATGATGATGATCCTTTACAGCCATATGCAGCTCACTTCATGTTCTTTCATCATTTTCACTTAATTCTCTAAATGTCTTCTCAGTGGTTGTTTTTTTAAGTCTGCCTTTATTCCTTTACTTGTTTGTTTTTCCAATGTAAGGACATTATAATTATACCGTGGTCTGATTTTCTCAGCATCTTTTCCTCCCTTCCTGATTGACTGGAATTTGTTTAGTTTTTTTCTATGAACCTCTACATGAGTTATTCTAACATACCATGTAATGTCCTGTTTTCTGCACAGACACTGGTTAACAAATGTCTGTTGTTTATTAGTAATTGTTTTCATCATTCTCTGTTTTCCCATCTCCATCATACGGGAGTACTGTTTCAGTCAATCATATTGTGTTACCAATGAGTGTTGTGCTTAGTTTGTTTCTCTTCTTGTCTCAGATTTCCCCATGTGGGTTCTGGGGTTCCATTTTGGAAAGGGGGGGGGGGGATAGACCCACTGCCCACCGGCTGTTAACTCTGGTCGACTGACTGACTTTCTACCCCACTAGGACATCACACAAGCGATAAACACCCGATGACACAAAGTGCCACCATGTGGATGAGGATTGCCGTGGAGAAGTCCCAGAAAACGCGTTCAGACAATTGGCCATATTTATGGCCTGCCTATATTGCGGCCCCTGGCAAAAGCCAGGGTGGGGCTTCAAATAACACAAAATTTCATCCTAAAAAGGACGGAAATGGATTAGTATGGTTAACTCTGGTGGAAAGTTCTGGTTCCTTGTCGGCTTCTAGATCTTGGTCTTGTTCCAGAACTTGAGTTTTGCATGCACACCTGTGTTACAGATCTGGCTTATTTGTATGCAGACTGTTGTGTCCTCAACTCTCAGGCAGATGGACCTTGACTTCAAAGGAAGCACCTCTAATTACTTGTCTTTTACAACATTCTTGTTAGGGAAGCAGTAGATTTTTTGTCGTAGTCGATCCCCCCTCCCCCACCCCACATGATGCCTTTAAACCCACTAAAGTGATTTCAGATGTCTTGGGTGGAATCTTACAAACTTGCATGCTCAGAAACTAGCAGTGTGTACCAGACTGATTCTACAATGTCTGAGGAGGAGCATCTTTGAGTATAACTAGGACATGACTGAACACAGCACATGTTGATTGGCTGTTATAGTGCATGTATATCAATAGTAGGGAGAGTATGAATATACTCAGGGTCTTATTTTGTAGGGGGAAAAAAAGAGAAAGCTCCCTAAACTTCCCACAAAGTAGTTGATGCTTTAATTATTGTGTATCCCAAGATGGGTGGTCCTCGGAACACAGAGTGTTAGTACTGCAACTATGGGAAAGAATGAGTTAATGTACCAGTTTGGATAGAACGGGTTAAAGTAACAGAAGGCCCGGCTCTCTAGCGTAATTGGCTAAAACCGGATTGCGCGGTGTTGGTGACTAACTCCTTGTGGTCCTGGTTCACTCCCGGGAGTAGGCAGAAAAGCCACATTTCTCCCAGATTTACGGTATTTACAATGGAATCAAGGCCGAAAAGTTGCGATATCCATAATACCGAGCCTAAGGGTTAACAACTCATGGCTTCTGGATACTAAAACAAACAAACAAGTAACAGAAGATTGAGACAGAATCATTTAAGAAATAGATAAACTTATAAGCACATAAGAGCTGGTTGGTACTGAAAGAGATTTTTAAAAGAAGCCAGTATTCACCACAGAGTATCTAAAAAAAGGTACCTGTTCTCACCACAGATAGTTTTTTTTTATATGATGCCTAAACAGGTGCCTAGACTATGTGCTGTTGTGTGCCACCAGAAAAAAATATACTCGCATTGTTTGACTGCTGTAAAGTTTTATATTTTGGTTTAAATTGCAGCTGGACCCAGCAGACATTTGTCAAGTTGTTCAAAGCAACAGAAAAAGACATCATAGAAGCCCTGAGAGAATGTGCACAGCCAGATGAACTTTTGTAAATGTGGTGTGAGGAATTTATCAGTGCCAGCTTGTTTGATCTTAAGATTGTCAGCTCTTTGAAAAGCCAGAGTTGTGATGATATCATTGTCATGTGATTTGTTTTCTTCAGCATAACAGTTCTCTGACAGGTCACCTTAATGATGATATCAGTGTCCTCTTGATTCATTTTTAGCTTGTGAACCAGAGCTGTGATGAAATTAGTGACATGTTATTAATGTTTTTTTTTCCAAGTTGTCAGCTCTTTGTGAAGTCATAATTTGTATTCCCTATGCTTGCATATGGTATTGGCCAGTTTGTTGTATTGTACCCCAACCAAACACACACATACCCATGCACAAATACATTAGAGACTGATCACTAACTTTTGTTTTCTTTTGTTAAATATAGTTCTGATAAGGAACAAAGATAAAGTTGAATAGTTGAACTGAAACCATTCCCCTTTGTGGGTTCTGGGGCCCCATTCTGTGTAACCATTCCCTTTGAGGGTACTGGGGCCCCATTCTGGGTAACCATTCCCTTTGTGGGTTCCGGGGTCCCATTCTGGGTAACCATTTCCTTTGTGGGTTCCGGGACCACATTCTGGGTAACCATTCCCTTTGTGGGTTCCGGGACCCCATTCTGGGTAACCATTCCCTTTGTGGGTTCCAGGGCCCCATTCTGGGTAACCATTCCATTTGTGGATTCTGGGACCTCAGTCTGGGTAACCATTCCCTTTGTGGGTTCCAGGGCCCCATTCTACGTAACCATTCCCTTTATGGGTTCTGAGACCCCCATTCTGGGTAACCATTCCCTTTGTGGGTTCCGGAGCCCCATTCTGGGTAATCATTTCCTTTGTGGGTTCTGGGGCCCCATTCTGGGTAACCATTTCCTTTGTGGGTTCCAGGACCCCAATCTGGGTAACCATTTCCTTTATGGGTTTCAGGACTCCATTCTGGGTAACCATTCCCTTTGTGGGTTCTGGGGCCCCATTCTGGGAGAAAGGAATAGACCCACTGCCCCGCCAACAAGCATGTGGTAAAAATTGACTAATTGGGAGGGGGGGTCTTCTGAGTCCGAGTACATTCACCTGAAAGGTGAGGACCAACAGTCTGCTTTGAAATAAGCTAGATCTGTAAAACTGATGAACATGTAAAACTCAGGTTCTGGGACAATACTAAAATCGAGAAGCCAGAACTATCCACCGGAGCTACAGTCAGTGAACAAGAAAAATAATAAAGCAGAATGGAATGTTTTTAAACAAAAAAATAATAATGGTAGTTGTTGATGTGGTCAGCGTCACGCTGGCCACCCTTACATCTCAGGACATTGCCTTCTACTTGGGTCAACTTAGGAGGCAAAGTAATTGTAGTTTTTTTCCAAATTGGCATGTTGCTAATTTGAACGCAAGACCTTTAAGCCAGTTAGCGAGCATCTCGGCACTATGCTACCACGGCTTCCAGAATAAAATGCCTCCATTATTGTCACTGACTTGCTAATTAGTGAAGGCAGTTACTCTTGTGGAGCAACTATCTCCCCTGTTGACACACAAGCAGATGCCCCAGAGTACTCAAGTGAATTTTATCAGAACTGTTTTGTGGCCAACACTATGCTATCGGGGCCAAACGTGGACACTTACATCCTCCGATGAACGTAAAATTGTAACAACAAAGATGAAATGCCTTAGAAAGACAGAATACGAAATCAGACGAATGCTAGGAATAAAGCCAGTCTTACAAGTCTTCAAAGAACAACAAATTAAGTGATTTGGACACCTAACAAGAATGCCCTGGTACTATCTTCCACAGCGAGCTACACTGAAACGTTACAACGGGTATAGAGTAAGTGGAATACCTCTGAAAAGATGGAGTGATGGCATTAAGAACAGCCTTACAGAAATGAACATCAATCTTAATAGTACTCTTGACAGAACTCATCAACAAATTTCACATCTCCCCCCCCCCCCCCCCCCCGACACTTCGCTAAGGTACAAGGCCGAAGAAAAGAAGAAAAATTACTCCTGTTTGCATCCAGTGATTCTCTGTATGGGTTTTGGGTCCCCATGGGAGGTGGGGGGGGGGGGGGGGGGTTTAGATCCACTGCCTTCCTATCAAGTGTATCATAAAAGACAATTAATTTTGGATTTTTTCCCTGGTCAAAGTGTATCTGCCTGAGAGGTGAGGGAAAAAACAGCCTACCTTACAGCTCACATGCTTCGTAATGCCAGGGTACCGGTTTCAATCCCAGTTGTGGGCCTTGCACCTTCCGTTCGCTTTGACAGTGGTATCGAGAAGCCAACTGTCTAGAAAGATATGGCAAACTAATGGACGTAAATTTGCGTAGAAAACCCATAACAGCCTAAAATGCTGGGGTTGGTTTTGCAATGCCCTGTAACAGATACACAATTATCTAACCTAGAAATAAGCAGATCTATAAAATGGATGTGCACACAAACTTAAATTTCTGGAACAAGATTAAAGTCAACAAGTGGATGAACAACTAGAACTTCATACTGGAGTTTATAGCCGGTGAATGCTAAGAAGAAGAAGACAGCTAATGACCTCCAACAGACGGCAGATTATCTTCAGAATAGAAAGGTTGAAGTCTGGGTAATTTCTGGGAATCACCACAAGAGAATGTTTAACTCTTTATGTCCCTAGAATAGTCAGATATTATCTATGTGCACCAAGCAGCACCACGATATCAAAGCATAACGATATCGAAATAAAGCTTACAATGGAATGGAGGAATATTAGCCCTATGTGAGCTATAATGGCACAGCCGGACAATGGATGAATGGAAGAAATTCCATCAGCTGACAGTGTGTAGATATTTTATTGCATGATTCACATGAATGATTCAACAATCGTTGTTATTGTACTTTTTATAATTTGATTTGGAAATGTTGCTACTGGAATAAATAATTATTTTGGTAATCGTGGATATTGATACAGTTGTTACCAAATGTCTGTGTTTTTCTTTGATTATAAAATGTACATGTTAACTGTGTCTTATGTCTGTCTTTTATCTCTCTCTGGGTTTTTCTGTCTCTCCCCCCTTCACACATTCTCCTTTCTCTCCTCTGTCTCTCTCTCCATCCCTTTTGTTGACTCTCTTGCTGTCTGTCTCCACTATGTCATCTTGTTCCTTCCAATTCTTTCCTCTTCCTGTTTCAGTCTTTGTCACTTTCTTTGTCTCTCTCAGTCTCTCTCCTCTCTGTCTCTTGCATATATATATATATATATATATATATATATATATATATATATATATATATATATATATATGACAGTGCCATAGGTGAATATCAATACTTTACAACTAGTCAACAACACCAAGTACTGAGGAGACATTTAACCATATTTGGTAAGACCTATAAAGACGACAATTCATTTCACACACCAACAACAAAATTAAGTGTGTCGGACACAATTGCTCATGGAAATGAGAGTTTAGACTGCACGATAACTACAATGAAGGCCCTTAGCCTCCTGATGACTGGTTACACAACTATCTTAGACCATTTCCAAAACCAGATAGGGATCCCTCGCAGCTCAGCAGTTATGGAATCATAACTCTCCAAAGTGTGTATGGCAAACTGCTGGAAACAGTTGTGGCGAAGGAAGTGATGTTACACTTAGAAAGAATAGGCAGGCTACCGGACACCATGGGCAGCTATAGGTATAGGTCATCAAAAGCAACATGGGACAATGGTGGAACTTTCACATATGATGTGTATGAAGGATGTCAGCGAAAACAAGAAACAGTCGTATCGCAATAGATCTTGAAGATGACTATAACAAACATCGCTGACTTCACATATCTTATGCAGTGCGGGATGGACTGGTGTGAACCCTTGGTTAGCTAATTGGGTGGGAGCAGCATTGTTGGAAAGAACAAGTGGTATTTTGTTTTGGAACATGGAGATCAGATCCAATACGCATTTGCCCAGGTCTTCCACAGGGATCACCAATGTCACCTGTCTTGTTTAACATATGTACAGCAAGTCTGGCAACAGTTCAGCCCACTGGACCAGGGCGAACTTTGACATTTGCAGATGATGTCCTAATTTAACGAAGTGGGTCAGACAGGCACGCCATGACCAGAGACTTGCAAAGTGCTTTGCAGGAGATGACTGAGTGGTGTGAACATACGGGGTCAAGGGTAAACCCAGAGAAGGCCAGTGTTTTGTGGCGCTCTTTGAATAACAGAATTGGAAATAAAGACTTGCCCAACATACACATGAAGGGTATTAATGTTGAAAGAAGAGATAAGTTGAAATACTTAGGTTTGACGTTAGATCGCAGTCTGTCCTACAGATATCACGTGGAGCAAACTGATCAAATGCATGCGCCGCCTGGCGGCACTAAAGACGACGGTGACGACACACATGGAACAGAGATTATTGGTTTTATTGTTCAACCCTCTAGTCCTTTCTGTAATCGATTATGACCTAGGAATATTAACCTATCTACTTCACAGATAACAAAGCTTGAAAGGATTCAAAACGAAGGAAAGAGAATCGCCTTGTGTTGCATACTGAACACCCCAGTACGAACAATGAGGTATATGCTTATGCTGACATCGGTAAAGTCTAGACTGTCACTGGCGCAAGCCAAAGCCTATATGCAAGTTACTAATGACGAAAGGAATCCGCTGCATGGTAATCTGAACGATTTAAGAAAAGACCGGTTGAAAAGAGGAAAGTCATGGATGGCACCAGCTAAAGATAATATCGAGATGGGGGCCTCAGTCAAGCAAATACACCGGGGGCAGGAATGGGTCGACACGAACACCCACAATAGCAGTTTCCATCAGGTCATTATCACGTTAGAAAAGAGAATGTAAAGGTGCAAAGGAATGGCCATATTAGATGTACAACAACTGATAGATGGAAAGGCTGGACTAGATGATGCAGTAGTGTACACGGTTCTGTTCATCGGGGTGTAAGATCTGGCTGGGGATTTTCAACTAGAATGAAGGGAAACATTGTGGTAGGACAAAAAAAGCTTTTTTTTTAAAAAAATATTTTATCTACAGCTTTAAGCATGAGAATGGACGTGGAGGCAATCACTCCAGCTCTCGAGTGAATAGCAGAAAACAAAGTTACCAGAGGAATTATTGTGTCCGGTTCTCAGTCGGCATTGCTGAAGGTTCAAAATGGACTAATGTGGCATGAGTGCATACCATACATCAGTATGCCAACATTGCAGGAAATCACGTGGATATACTGTCCAGGGCATGCAGGAGTGCGAGGGAATGAAAGAGCAGATGTTATGGCTATAAATGCGAAAGCTTCGGGAACACTCGTATTGGATTATATATGAACGACTTTTGGCAGAAGAACGAGATTAGATCAAATAACAAGAATTGGCAAGAATGTGTGAACGAGGAATTAAGAGTGGATCTGGCAAGGAGGGGCGGATGAGAGTGTGCTACGGGAACATCTACACCTTATGTCATTTGCTGAGGGAGGCGGAGCATCTATGGGTATGTCCTGTGTGCTATGATGTCGATTCTTAAATAAGTAGATCAGATGCCAGTACAATTTATAGATATTTTTGGTGCCGAATCCCCTATAGATGTCATCCCCTATAGATGTCAAGCAAAATTCAGTTCTGAAACAAGACTAAAGTCCAGAAGTGGACGAACAACCATATCTTTTTGCCTTAGTTTACAAAGGTGAACTATAAGAAGAAATAAATTGTCTGAGCTGAATTCAAGACAGCATGTAGAAATAGTGACAATGCGTTCATAATCCCACGATACCACGGACGCTTCTAAAAAGTGTAACCAGAAAAGAAGCGAACACCGCAATCCAACCGCTTGAACAGAACTCACGGGCAGCAGACGGCAGAGGGAGAGAGTAGAATTTCATGTGCGGACGAAAAAAGTAACCCTTCTTCCACTCTTCTGACTGTTGTACTTAGTTGACAGATGATTACAGGCCAATCATATTATTATCTGATTGTTTGATTGCCTTATTTGCCAGACGTAATTAATGATTGGAAATTCGAATTATACTTATAATTATACAAGGACCAGACTACTATGTATGGTGTTAAACTGAATTTGCAGGTATACTACTATTACTACAATACTACGTCTGCATGTCGTAGGTGGCGACTAATTAATGGTTATTCCTGCAAAGCCGGAGTGCATCTGCCTGAAAGGTAAGGACACAACAGTCTGAATACATTTAAGCCAGATCTGTAAAACAGATGTGCACGTGAAAATCAAGTTCTAGATCAGGACCAACGTCCAGAAGTGGATAAACAACCAGAACTTTTTTTCTTGCAGTTTACAGCTGGTGAACGCTAAGAAGAAGGCGAAAATGTCTCACAACAATCAATCAATCGTAGAATCTATTAGTTTAGTACACATTTGTTCTAAAAAGGACTCTTTTTCCACGCATTCAGGCATATTCCTTAATAGGGCTAGACCTATATTCTGTAGACCACACGGAACTTTATGGGTGATGTGGTCAGCATCACGCCGGCCACCTTTACTTCCCAGGACTGTACCTGGTACCAGTTCAAGGCTGGGTCGACCTGGTCATTTTGGAAAAAGTTAGGACCTGTCAGGACATCTGAACCCACTATCTTCTGATTGGCAGGCGAACGTCTAGCGACTAGATCAGGACAGCTACATATTTGTTGTTACATAAAAAATAATGTAACATGGTTTTACAGTATAATAGAAAATGCTGAACTAGGTAATAATAAATGCAAATGCTTTTGGCAGTCATAAGGTAGATGACTTCAAGAGAACTGTGCTAGATGATCTCTGACTTCAAGAGAACTGTCCTAGATGATCTCTGACTTCAAGAGAACTGTCCTAGATTATCTCTGACTTCAAGAGAACTGTCCTAGATGATCTCTGACTTCAAGAGAACTGTCCTAGAGGATCTCTGACTTCAAGAGAACTGTCCTAGATTATCTCTGACTTCAAGAGAACTGTCCTAGATGATCTTTGACTTCAAGAGAACTGTCCTAGAGGATCTCTGACTTAAAGAGAACTGTCCTAGAGGATCTCTGACTTCAAGAGAACTGTCCTAGATGATCTCTGACTTCAAGAGAACTGTCCTAGATTATCTTTGACTTCAAGAGAACTGTCCTAGATTATCTCTGACTTCAAGAGAACTGTCCTAGATTATCTCTGACTTCAAGAGAACTGTCTAGAGGATCTCTGACTTCAAGAGAACTGTCCTAGATTATCTCTGACTTCAAGAGAACTGTCCTAGAGGATCTCTGACTTCAAGAGAACTGTCCTAGATTATCTCTGACTTCAAGAGAACTGTCCTAGAGGATCTCTGACTTCAAGAGAACTGTCCTAGAGGATCTCTGACTTCAAGAGAACTGTCCTAGATGATCTCTGTCTTCGAGAGAACTGTCCTAGATTATCTCTGACTTCAAGAGAACTGTTCTAGAGGATCTCTGACTTCAAGAGAACTGTCCTAGAGGATCTCTGACTTCAAGAGAACTGTCCTAGAGGATCTCTGACTTCAAGAGAACTGTTCTAGAGGATCTTTGACTTCAAGAGAACTGTCCTAGAGGATCTTTGACTTCAAGAGAACTGTCCTAATTAGTCATGCTTGTTACTGAGGCAGTGGGTCTGTCCCCCCCTCCCCCCTAAATGGGGCTCTAGAACCCACACACTGGGAAAAGGCTGCCTATAAGAAGATGAAAGAAATGTAACTGTAATAAACTAATTTAACATTCTTACCTGCACTGAAATGCAGTCTACACCAGGCTAGATGGGTGTCACCGTTACGGGTGCCCCATTTATAACATCTTTGTAGGTTGAATAGGTGTATGTGGGATTTGCTTTTTTGGTGCCACCCAGGATGAAATTCCTTAACATTCTTTAAGTCTCAGGGACATTCACGTAAAAGGGTATAAAATTTAGATTACAGCTAAGTCTTCTTTCACAAACACACACACACACACACACACACACACACACACACACACACACACACACACACACACACACACACACACACACACACACACACACCCCCCCCCTCCTCCAGTGTGAAATGTAAGCCTTCTGCTAACCTCTGCTACAACTTGTTAATAATTAGTTGTATTTTCTGGTTGAAACTATCCCTCTCTCTGATTGGTCTTCTTTTTTAAGTTGGTGACTCAAAAGGTTTGTAATCTGCATGAATATTAACTCTTCACCATCTTCTTGGTCTGGCTTGTGGTCTAATCTCATTCAACACTTCTGTGTATGCAGTTTTGGTCTCTGTTATCTTCCACTTTATGCTCCAAACTTTGAGGTTTGATAGCCTGCATGATGCCAGTAATTGTTATTTAAACAATTTATAATATGCTACTGACTGTGTTTTTTTTCCACCAGGCCATATTCGTGAAGAAACCGAAGCTTGAAGTGCTAATGGAAATTCTAAAACTTCCTCCAGAAATTTTAGAGAATATTTTTCTCCATTTGGATACTCAAGCATTGGGTGCTTGTGCTCTTGCAGATCCTCGTCTGGCAGATATAGTCTATTCATCTCACTTCCTGGATGAATACTGTCGTGCTTCGCTCAGCTGCACATGGGTCACGGCTGCGGATGTGTGCAACATGTGCATTGCGGTTCCATATGAGTTCTGGTTTTGGGTTTATACGACAATGAAGGTAAACTGTAATTACAGCTCCCAGTTTTCAGGCTTGTAGAGTAAGCAAAAGATACTATTATGTATATTATATAAAGTGTGGAAAAGAGTTAGCCGTGTGTGTTCTGGGGCCATATTGTAGGGGAAAACTAGAATGGTGCCACTGTATCCTTAACAAACATGTCCTAAGAGTTGACTAATTAGAGGTTTCCTTTGAAGTCGAAGTGCATGCAGATAAGCCAGATCTTTAAAACATATGTCCTGAAAATCATCTACTCTTAGCGGAGATGTGGTTTTTGAGAAACAATGCAAAGAATATCACAGAATGCTAGGAAAACATACAACTGCTTGAGACAGATAAACGTAAACTGTTTAGAGAAATCAGGGTAGACAGGCTGTGTTTTTGTGTGTGGATATTTTTTAAGAAACAGTGGACTCAAGAATATGGGGACAACTGGCAGTATAGATAGAAAAAAAAAAGAGCAAGAAGAGGACAGAGATAAATACCTGGTTAGCTTGTTCGTATGTACGGGATAAACAGGAGCACTGTCTTGATCTGTGATTCTAGTGATCATGTGAGATGGCAAAACATCATTGGCTTTCCTTCTGACAATCTCTGGTATCCCATTTGTATGGCTATTTTATACTAGAGCTCCATGTTAGTGGGCAACTATCATTTCACACCTAGGGACTGACCTAGGAATTCTGTGGTTTTGTTGATAGTGATTAGTGTGTTTGCTTCCCTGCATGGTCGTTGATGGTTTTGATTTCCGATATAGCACTGGATTTTTTCCTTGTAATATGAAACTGGACTAACCTTGTAAAATGAGAACTGTGGATGTTTATGGGGAGAATGGCAGTGGGTAATCATTCCACAGTTATGACCTAAAAGAATGAGAAAAGCCTAACTTCAACTGCTCCAGTATCGGCTAGGGTGCCCTGCAAATTCCTGACTCCCTTAAAACAGCAGGAGCAATGAGTAAATCATGAAATACCTCATGAATGTTGCCAAGAATGGACTTCATCTACTGCTTGGCATTGAATCTCTTCTAGAAGTTGATACAGAGCAATATGCTGGTGTTTCCTGTTGCACACCGCTTGTATAGCTGATTGCACTGATCCCTGGTTTCTTTTAGCACCCAACTGCTCTGAGAGGGTGCATTATTTCCTATTAGCTCTTAACACATTAGAGGTTATTATACTTTCACCATGAAGAGGGTGGTCTCTGTGGCAGAGTGGTTAAGCTGTTAGCCTTGCATTCTGTAGGTCGTGGTTTCATTTCACGGCTGCATCGTTCGGTTCACAAATGCTATTTTTAGGGAGTCCCACAAGCACCACTGCCGGCGCTACAACGTTTGTGCTAGGTGTGATACTCTTCACAGGCGCTAGCCATTCTGCTAAGAAAGACTGAACCATACAGTGTAAAACCTGGTGCAGTCATGTTGATCCTCTCAACTTTCGCCTTTAACAGTGTGAAGAAATTATTTGTAATTCTTTTACTTTGAATTTACAGATGACTACAGGTATTACATTTGTCCACAGCTGGAGGACACTGGCCAAGCTTATGTGATCTTTCATAATAAGTACCTGACCAAGATCGGAACCTTCCGGCACATGTTTATTATGTGGCTCGTCTGCGGGCTGCGACCAAGCTTCCTGTATTCACACACACTGATGTACCAGCGCTATCCGCTGCCTGAGACCGTCAGCGAGGTCTTTGAACTCATTGAGCAGCCGGTACCCGACATTATTGATACGCTTTTGAAGATTTTCATTGGTCTCCCAGAAATCATGAAGCTTACCTGCAGCAGCCTAATCCTCTTTAAAATGCAGGGTGGGGGAAGCACCAGTCTTTACATGGACATTGTTTGCAACGATGGGATTGAACCTAAGTTGCCAGTTGGGTTTTCATGCATGTTTAGTATTGAAATAATTCTGACAGCCATGTTCGGCAAGCATCCATCGCTTCTGATTCTTATTGGCAAAGATCGATGGGTTTTGTGGCTGGGTTGTTTAATCATCTCTTTTGATCACAATGAGGTAAGCATTGCCGACAACCTGTTTTGTAGGTACTTCAGCAACGAAGAAAAAATCTCAGAGATTCGATACCAAGCTCAGCATGCGATTCTTGATTTGAGTGGGTATGTGTATAGCCTGAGAGATGCTGCGCCATGCCCCATCATCTCTGGTGATCACTCAGATATGGCAGCTTTGACTATTTCTTTAGCACAAGAACATCATCGGGGGTTACAACAAAAGTTTGACTTGGTCCTAGATAAGTATTGCTCACAGTTGGTTAGTACCGTCACCGAAAAGGACTACATGAGCGGTCACAATAAGGAAATCATTATAGAGTGTTTCAACTTCAAAATATCTCAAAATCTACAGATCAATGATTATGTCTTTCGGTTGCTTAAATGTGATATGAACAAAATTAAACACAATTCATTCGAGAATTGGTCATACATGATGTACAAATGTATTTTAGAGCGTATAGCATGTTTGTTCCGAACAGAAATACATTTCTGTGTAGAGAACAGCTTCTGCCATTCATTCCTCTGTGGTTGCCTTGGACCAACTTACACACCCAGAGATTCAGAGTATGTTGAGGACAAAATAGAAAAATGCTTGTCGGAAAAAATGAAAGATGGCCTGTACTCTCCACACATGTGGCCATCACATGTTCTGTCAGCAGCTTGCCAGATTGTGCCGATTCTGACAGAAATTTTGGAGGCAGATATTCAGATGATAACCTCAAGAAGTACAAAATTCGTAATCCCCAGATCGGTTCAGCAACAAACCAATCAGAAGCTTCGAAATGCTGGGATGATACTCACCAATAGGCCCCCGAGCAAGCCCCGCTGTCCTCCCCTGTTAAAACAGGTTCGCTTTTGGTCTATGGAAAGCCTTATATGAAATTTCTGCCTTATCCATCTTAAAACTATTATTTCCATTTGGGGAAAAGGGGGGGGGGGGGGGGGGGGGAGGGGGGGGGGGGGGGTCAGGGAGAAACATTTTGTTTCTTTTACTATAATTATTAATGTGTTCATAGTGCAAGGTCATTCCTGGTATATTTACTTTAAAAAAATGTTATAATCTCTTTATGGCAGCAGACTTTTTGATATTAACTGAAATTTTTATCACTGCAATTTAAATTTTCATTAGTTATTCCTTTCTTTTCTCCCCAAATCCCTATTACTGTATTTGGAAACATGTCTCTCTAAATGACTTTCTGCAAGATATTTGTGCCATTATGTTGAATTTAATTTCTTCAGTATAAAGTCTGTGACCATTCTCATATTACTAATGTTAATGCTGACAGTGTGGAGCTAGTGGTTAATACTGTGCTGTTTGTAACTGTACTGACTCTTAACTCTTTGAGTCCCAGGGGGTTTAGCATCACAGGTCCAGTGGGGTAATAAAGAAAGTAATAAAATCGGCGCATCATGCGTTCATTGGGCTTCTAGGTAGGAAGCTATGAACGTATGATGCGTTCCTTGGGACTCAAAGAGTTAAAGGCATTTTGTTTGTAATCATAATAACTTTTAAAGGTATTTTAAAATTGTTCAACTCAAAAAGCCTATTTGACAGACATTAGCAGCGGTGCAAGTACTGTGATATTATTTTTAATAGTTAAATCTTTTAGAACAGGAGGCTGTGATTTTGTGGCTGTTCCCAAATGTTTGTGACTGGTATTTCTAAATGTATGTGTCTAGGATTTGTGACAATATGTTGGTGAAAATGCTTATGTTTGTGGTGGTAGGCTGGTACTTGTGACTCAAAATATTTGTGGCGAAATAGTATTTTTGGATATTTTCAAATGAATGTGGTGGTAATCTTATACTAGCAACGTATGTTTCAAGGTGCTTGTGATAAAATGCTGGTGGTGTCTGTGGCCATTTTCAAATTTCTGTGATTGTAGGTTGTTATTCTGGTTGTATTTTGTCTTGCGATGATAGAATCAGTAGCCTCACCAAGGTGCTGCTCTGCCCAAAGGTGTTATCACAGTGTGGGATGTCAAATCTGGTTTGTGCCACCCAGTATGTGGCGTTAACAGAGGACAAAAATAATAATATAATTTTTGTTGTTGTTGGTGTGTTGGGAAATGAGCAGGTGGATAGACTGGCTGGGTCTGCACCACTTGGTGGTGAACTGATGTATGACAAGCTGGATGTTGTTAGGGCCCTTTGGGAGCGAGTGAACAGTGCAGAGGCACAGATAAATCATAACGGTCTGAGGAGAATGGCACTGCAAGGAGTTGCTGGCCGACGCTTGACACTCAGGGGAAAGGCAACACGGATATACAATCAGACAGTTACTGGTACTATCGGAATTTAAACTCTTTGCTGCTGAACATGGGGAGGCAGAGCTTATAGGGGTGTGCCGAGTGCTGTGATGTTGATTCTTAATTCACAACAGAGGACAGGCAGTACCAACTACTGTTATACAGTAACTTACAAGACCTGACCACGCTCAGGCTCCGAAGATTGTTTGAGACTCATTTTCTTTTGCAAGTGGGAGTCAGTGCTTTTTGTATGTACAAATAGTATTTTAAATTTTACATTTCTTATTAAACTTTAAAAGTTATAAAATTTGTGTGGTAGTTCATAAGAAGGATTTAAGTTCTTAGATTAATGCCATATGTATTCAATGAATAGCATTTATAAATTAAGTAGCATTTATTTTCCCTGAGTACCAGTCTTAGTCTCCAAGGGTGTTAGATAGTATTATTTTAACCCTTACTTACAAGTAATATACAATTTATCAGCATTAACTCTTTAAATTGGACATTAGTTTTCCTTAAAACATATCACTTAAAGTAAGACATGTCTTGGTCAGAAATGTTACAAACAGTAACACTGTAGAAGAAAAACACATCTGCCCCATGGCGGTGAAAGAGTTCAAAAGTGTATTGCATCTTAAATAAAAGTTAAGTACCAATATCACAAAACTCTTGACATTCCCATAAGCGCTCAGACTCTATGTTCAGCAACGTCCCAATTCTGATGGCAGCAGTAGCAGTTTGATTATGTGTCCATTTTGCATTTCATCTGATTATAAAACAGTTTGAAATGTGAATGAACAGGGAGATACTAAAGAAACAGAAAAGTATTTTTAAAAACGTCTTTTGCTGGATCATTGTTTTTGAACTCCATGTATAAGGTATAGTGTTCTGTTTTTAAATTATTATTATTTTTAAACTGATGCACTGATGCTCAAATCACCTATGCTTTTAAAGATGTTTGGTCAAATCTGAGTGGGGCTGATGGCTTTCTTCCCGACCCAGCACCATCTTTTTGCTGACTGTGTTGCAGGCCGCATCTACCCATCTCCATGCTCATAAACTTACTGGTTGTGTAAGACTGAAACTTTCTCCATCTATAGAGAGATGCAGCACAGACTGGTAAAGACCAGATTTAGGTTGGCAGTGTTTTCATCAAGACCTGTAGATATTTTACTTTCCAGTGACTCCAATCCCCATTGATCACTGGTATCATGAGGGATAATTGAAATGGCTAGGGCATAGTCAGAGAATAGTCAGATGAGAATGGTAAAAACTGTACACAGGGGAGTTGAATGGTTGTAGACAACGAGGCAGATCAAGAAGACGAGGGAGAGATAATATACAGGCAGACCTACAAACACTTGGAGTCACTAACTGGAAAGACAGGACTAATCACAGAACGAACGAACTTTATTTTCAAAGGGTCACTAATTGGGCACGCAGGCCCGTCTTACATTCGGCCCTTCCAGTCAACCATCTTTCGCACAGCAGTTGTATTTTACTAATAAAGCATGTTATGATTATATGATGTTATGCATATTATGAATATTATAAAAGAACACAAAAGCATGAGTTGTAAAGTGCATGAAAAAACCTGCGCGTGCATACATACACCCACATACACACGCTCACCCAATCACTTACACACACAAACATGCATGGATACATTACATACATACACACATACATAAAAACATGCATACACACATACACACAGGCATACGTACACACAAACATACATACATACATACATACAAACATACAGGCATACATACGTAATACAGGCATACACACATACAGTCATAAATACAGTCATGCATGGAGACACACACGGACACTCCCACAGAGACACACACACTCAGACAAAAATAGACACACACACAGACACTTACATATAAACACACACAGGGAAACACACAGCACACATATTTACATTGGTGCTCACACACTGACACACACACCACACATACGCAGACACATACATACAGCCACGTAGACACACACGCAGTCAAACACACACACACACAAATACAGACACACAGGCAGACAAACACATACTGACATCAACAGAGACAAACACGCAGAAATGCATACACATACGAACACATAGAAATACACACGCAGACACATATATTCAGCACGCACAGACATATACTCTGACATGCAGACACATACAGACAACAAAGGGGCACACACAACACACACAGAAACACAAATAGACATGCACAGACAGACAGACACATGCTGAGACATACACTCACGCAGACAGACATACAGAGACACATACATACAAAGATGAATGGAGCGGGTAATATCTGCAGTAATGAACCTCAAGGGCTGAGAATGCTGAAGAAGAAGTCTGGCTCCAGTTCCCAATGTGTTTTTGCTAGATAAGAGTAATCTTATCTAGCAACCTTATGTTGGTTACTGTTGTGTTGGCTGTCTCAAAGACTGTTCTTTCCTTCAACATTTCCGAGCCTTTGATATTCACTGCTGCAAATACCACCCGCCTTCATTCACCTCTGTGATTGGCTTTTGCAGATACCACCCGCCTCCATCCATCTCTGTGATTGGTTTTTGCAGATACCACCCGCCTCCATCCATCTCTGTGATTGGCTTTTGCAGATACCACCCGCCTCCATCCATCTCTGTGATTGGCTTTTGCAGATACCACCTGCCTGCATTCATCGCTGTGATTGGCTTTCTCTTTCCAGTTGGTGACTCTTAGTGTTTGTAGGTCTGCCTGTATATTATCTCTATCATCATTTTGGTCTGTTTCATGGTCTACTCTCATTTGACTCATGTGTATGTCTCTCAATATGACATTCTCTCTCTATGTCACAGCTATTGTCGTCTATTACCCTCATTGAATTTTTGTTGTTGCTTGCTCTCTTATCAGTATTTATTTATTAACTTTACGTAATATTTTTATGACCACAAGCTTCCTCAGCCAATTTTGTGCTACAATTTAATGGTTTATGATGAAGTACTCAAGAAATCTGTAGCTAACATTTGTAATTTTTTTTTTCCACTGTGAATGAAAATGCTTTCATTTTCTTCAGTTTGAACTCCATGGAATAAATTTCATTGTACATACATTGTGATAATTGTAAAGAAACAATTTGCCAAAATACACTGTGATGGGTACAAGCTCGGTAAACAAGGAAAAACTTATTCCTTTAATTCTACACTGTTTGCCAGGAACAGTTTCTCTGCACTCTTTTGCATTTGCAAAATTTCCTACAAATATTTTATTTATGCTTGTGGGCAGGTTGTAAATATTTTGAATATATTATACAACTTACCTATCATTTTACAATTAGTTTTAAATTGTTTAAAAAAAAGCCGGTGATAACATATGCAAAATAAAGAAGTTATTAAGTGCAATATTGGTCTGGGTTTTAATGTTTGAGAGGGGCTTGAGTGAGACTGGATAAAGTTTATCACTGGGCTGATGTTTTTTGAACATGTTATGTATGCTTGTTGGGATCTGTGGCTCAAGTATTATGAACATAGTACAGTCAGACTTTAATTGATGTCACTTGTTTAACTGTCAGTTTCTGTTATCCGTCATCATCTAAAACAAAATGCAGGAAAAACAATTTCTTTCCAGAATGTTTTCGTGTTTTTA